AGTCCATTCCTAGGGTAGTCGCGCTTTGCAACGCGCTACCGTAGGCCGGCTCGGCGCCCCAGCCTAGGTTGCCAGAGTGAGAGCTTCCGGGGAAGTGGAGGTAGCTGAGGTTGCTGGCACCATCCCTGTGGCTCGCGGTTGACATCTATAGATACCAGTCAGTACAATGTCGTCGAAATAATTTACATTTGCGTACGTGGTCTGCGTCCGTCTGCTTGGAAGAATCAGCGCCCAGCTGTGGCACGGCGCCGTTATAGTCCCCGAAATTTGCGAAGGGGGCGTATTCGTGGGACATCGTATGATGCAAGTCCGTCGAGGGTAGATGTAGGTGAGAGTTGATACAAGCTAATGGCGGCAGGGGTTGAAAGAGGTAGAGAGGACGGCTGCATGGCCTGCGCCGCCTCCGATCTTATATGCATCGCGGGACTCGCGGCTGATGCGCCCGACTCGGCAATTTCCGGCCGCGTGGCCCAGGCCACAAAGAGCGGTTCCCAGCCCGCCTTCCCCATCGCATTCCAGCACTGCGCGCGCCCTTACATCCATTCTAAAGACTCCAAGGGGTATACTGACGTCAAATACTAATTACTACGCTCTTCCAGGTCTCGACGCCCTGCCGCTGGAGGGCGGGAGGGGCTGGCGGGGGCTTCGGCGAGTGCCGTGCGCGACCTCAAAGGAGCGCTCAAGCAACTCACAGCCTGTCTCCCTATTGTCCTTCCCTTCCCACGCTAAAGTGGAATGCTTCCGGTTCGTTTGTGGCTTGCCTCGTGTTGTAGCCGGAGATTGGGCTGCGTGCTGTTTGTGACGCTGGCTAGGCGTGCAGTTCTTGGTACCAGGCCGAAGTCGTCTGTTGAGATCGCCAATGATGCCCTGTCGGATGTGGAATCATGGTTTACAACCGCCCTGTACGTATAGCACAGTAATGAGATCGGATGCTATGACTCTTCCCGAACCCCAGTTAATTCAAGCCGCGCTTTCTCGCAGTCAAGTATTCCTTCTGACTTCTTCTATTCGATATGTTTCGGGAGTTTCGATCCGCTCCAAGCATGCTTAGAATTGCGATACGTGATGTCAGGCAGTCCTTTGACTATTGAGGACGCAAGATCAGGAATCCGGCGGCCCTTGATTATCCCTAAGCACCCATAGTACTGACGAGAGTCCTTTGAGTACGGCGGTAGCAATACATGTACAGCTATTGAATTGGTCGTCTAACCGGAGACTTGCTTTGGATACAATCTCGGCTCTACCTCACTCGTGTGCCATGACCCTTTAGGTCTCCATACGTGACGGCGCATGGCGTCCAAGGGTCAGCCGAACTGTTGGCACGAAGTGCGGTTGTACACGTTACGTCACGCGTTACGGTTCGCGTTCAAGCTGCTGCTTCCGTTCTTGCACGATCGTCGACGAATCGCAATTTGGTTCCCACATCAATCAACCCTCTGATCAGATAAGGCTTTTACAACCGCTCAGACTAAACAGTAGTCTCTGGCGGTTGTTTGGGCTTCAGACAATCAGGCTATCGGCACTACCTCGACCTGCTCATCCCGAGCCTTCTCGACGTAAACGGGGACCTCCGACTTCGCATCGTCTAAAGTGACAACCTTATCTCCGAAGGACTCCGCAATCGCTTCCAGGCTGCGCCCCTTGGTCTCTGGACAGTAGACGTACACGAAGAGCGAGAATACTGCTGTCGCGGCCGCGAAGACATCTGGACGCACGCGTCAGCAACACTAGCATCTTGTTCGTCACTGAGGAAACGCACAGTAATAGTTCTCCCTGATGTTTGCGAACGCGGTCGGGCCCGCCTCGGAGACGCTTATGTTGAAAAGGAAATGGGTGGCTGCTGCCCAGCCCGTGACGATGTTGCGGAGGGAAACAGGGAGAACTTCCACGCCGTAGATCCATGTCGTGGAATTAATGCCGAGATCTGCGTAGTGTCAGCGGAATGGCCGCGTCCTACGACAGAATGTGCGCACAGTATGTGAACGTGAAGAGATAAAGGCCGAGAATGGCGAAACCCTTTCCTATCTTATCCTCGCCCGCATTGAAGAAGTGGCCCATGATGGCCGAGTAGATGAGGATGCCCATGACAGATGGAAGAGCGACCTTGAGCATCGTAACGCGTCCGACCCCACAAGACGGACCTGTTGTGCTCGGTTGAGGGCATACGCAACACGCGATCAGATTAAACTTACTGATATTGCATTGGCAAGGAAGCCCGCGGTACCGTAGAGAGCCGACATCAGGAGCACGGTCTGACCTTCGATGCCGAAAGCTTGATAAAGTGTGGTTTGGTCTATCCGGAAAGAGAAGCGTAAGCGCAGTGCGAATGATATTGTACTGGAGTGACGACCCACAGTATGCAATGACACTTACGCCCGTGAGCGGTGTCATACCTGTAACTGCGATAGCTATGAAGACTCGCTTCCGGTATCGATACCAGGCCTCTCTGAGTGATTTGACTTCGTGCCGCTGCTCATACAACACCTGCTCACGCATGTCTTCGAAGGCGTGTCGCGTCTCCGATAGCGAAACTGATCCTGTGATCTTGGCGAACGTGCTATACGCACGCTCATCTTGACCTTTCAGAATCAGCCAACGGGGTGACTCAGGGAGAAAGGTGCAAAGGCTAATGAGGAGGATGACACCGGGGGGGATTTGCATTGCTAGTGGGAAGCACCATTGGAATTGACCATATCCAGCATAGCCGCAGACGTAGCCAACCCAGTTTGCTACACGACCAATCAGTACGAGCATCGAGAGGGTGGAGCAAATAAGAGACCTGTACAAGTTCCCGCGATGATCATCAATCCAGACATCCCAGCAACGAACCCGCGAATCTCTGGAGGCGCTATATAACTCGTATGAGGTATGAAATCCTCGCGATGGGTGAAGGGTGACGACTCACAGATCTCGACATTGTACATGGGGACGGTGCCGTTGAGCGCACCGCTGGTTGGTAAGACGAGTGCGCGTATCAGAATCCATGTAATGAACCAACGACATACCCGGCTATGCCCGTAAGGATGCGACCTGCGAGAAACATGCTGAAGTTATGAGCGCCGGTTTGTATACTGGTACCAAACGTGATCTGAGAGACGTCAATGCGATGCGCATGTATACGATCCACGCCTCTTACAATGATGCACATCAGCCCCATGAAGCGCTTACGGCCGAGTGAATCTCCGATCGCCGATTGAGCGAGTGCACCGATCACTTCGCCAGCTATGTAGGTAGCCACGATCTATACAGACTCAGAGAGAAGGATGTCACGGGACAGTATGCTTGCGTACGGCACCTGTCCAGGCTGGGTTCGGGTTGTGCATGTCTGAGAAGCATCATCAGCATCGGGAGAAAGAAGCCAGAAGCATGGTCACGTACAATCTTTGAAACTGGGTTGTGCGATGCTCTAGAGAAGTCTAGGTACTGAGCACAAGAGGAATGAGGGCACGTACAGTGGTGATGATTCCAGTATCGTACCCGAACAGGAACTGTCACGGAGTCGTCAGTACCACACCTAGGTGGAGAAATCGTCAATCTCACCGAGCCTAACCCTGCAAAGCATCCCAGAACGACCGAGTAGACGCGCATGTCCGCCGAGAAGGTTTAAGGCGAGGACTGGAGGAAGACGAGAATGACGAGGGAGATGTACGACTTCTAGTGAGGCTTCCCTCTGGCTCTTATAGCACGAGCGGCGTCCCGTCGCATGTGGAGGCATCCTGCAACGGGAAGGGATACCTGGAATAGCACTTCGGGGACCTCTCACGAGTGAAACCGCACCTCCTGGCCTATGCGATTGCCAGCGTCTGGCGAGTTGTCCGTGTACCATGACGCGTACCGACACGGCGCACTACCTCTCATCGGTTCCGCGATGCGCTCACTCGACAATAATCAACGCGTTCGCGACAGGAGAAATAACTCCAAGAATCATGGCGCGGACAACTGACACGTTCGCGAGGTTACTGTCATAACTACAGGCGCCAGGTTATCAAGGGAAACACCGCGAGGGTCAAGGTCGCGATGCTCAGTGTAGAGGCTGCTGGCGTCCATTGCGAGCGTTGCGGGAAAGATGTTTCTCGCAATGACGCCATTGTGTAGACCGGCACCAGTCGAAGTGCGGTGACCGTGCGGAGAGGCAGGAGCCTACCGCGGAGTGCAAGCCGGCGAAGAGGAAGGGGAAGATGTGATGATAGAGCGGTATGTCCGACGAAGTTCGAGGCCTAGTACACAAGGTTGTCGATTCGCGATGGCACGCAGAATAGCTATTGAGTCGCACTTGTGACAGAAGGACACATCCATTGTGCATTGTGAAACGAACGGTTCACAGCGGCTCTCGGGTTGCCTGGACCTGCGGTTCATAGCACTTTGGATAGATAGGCATCGATGTGGTCTCGAGCAACATGGCGCGCGCAGACGCACGAAACCCAGTTATCCTCGAAAGTTAGCTACTGCTCTATGTATACTTTTTAATTAAATCTATTGCGAGCATTAATGGGGTAGTGGTAACCTGGGTCGTTGCCATCGACCCGCCGGGGGTTCGATTCCCCTTGATGCATTCACTGTTCATGACACTTATTTTGTTGAGCTTTTCTCTGAGCCTGCCTTTGCGCTGTTGTGAGCAGATCTAGCAATGTTGTGAGCACGTAGGGCGCGAATCCTTCACAATATCCCTATATACAATTGTGCAGAGCAGGCACGGCTGGGGGGGGGAATGATCTGCTGGGGTTATCACATGCGCACGCAGCCTTCCCGCAACGGCTGTAAGCGCGTCATAAGGCATTTCATGTTCGGGCAACGAGCAGCCCTCGCAGCTGAACTCCAGCTCCGCATTCACCCTTATAATCTCCAGCTATCACCGTGTGCTGTCACTTTTGCTTCCTAGACCTTTGCTTGGCTTTCTCGCTTTGAATTACGACTGTAGATGAACTACATCTGGGGCGCCGTCAACGCGATCAGCGCACCGTACCAGTACTACAAGGAGCTTCCGCCGCTTAATCCGTCTACGCTTACTGGTGCTATCGATGTCATTGTCATACGACGACCGAAGGAGAGCGGGGATGGCGATGAGCTCGCTTGTTCTCCGTTCCATGTCCGCTTTGGGAAGTGGCAAGTCTTGCGGCCAGCCGAGAAGAAGGTGCGCGCGGGTTGCGGGTTACGAGCCGGCCATAGTGCTGAACGCGATAATACCAGGTTAAAGTGCTTGTGAATGGCAAGCCAATACCGTTCAACATGAAGATCGGGGAGGCCGGAGAAGCCTTCTTCGTCTTTGAGACCGAGGGAGAGATCCCGGAGAACTTGATAACGTCGCCCATCCTCGCGCCGTACTCCCCTCCCGGATCTACCACCGACCTTCCAAATACAACCACGGGTCGGTTTGGCGCCCGCGAAGATGGCGCAATGCCAGAACAGGAGCCCGAGTTTCTCGACCTTAACGCGCCACAAACGACCGATGCCGCCGAGGCAGACGCACTGCGCGGCGCTTCTGGTCCAGAGTACATTGTCGAGGACACGGGCTCAGACGACTTGCTCTCTCGGACCGCGGACGCCGGGAAGGCTGTTGCGCACGCCGTTGACGAGCACGAGCAAGATGTCCAGATTAGGCTGCGGGATCGGATCCGGGCGCGCTACAACATGGCTCAGAAGGCGACAGCTGACTATAAGCCTGGCTCGAATCCGAGTGATGAGGGCGATGAAGTCCTGCCTTCTCCGCCGGACGTGCAACCCAATGAGATCATCAACAACGGCGGTAAGCGCCTCCACTTGACGTGCAGCATTCATGCTCATTGTTCGGCATAGACATCATGATCGACATGGGCGGCTATCACTCCCAGAAACCCGCGAAGAAGTCGTCGCAGTCCTCAGATTCTGAGGGAGAGGACCGCGCCAAACCCGGCGACACCAACCAGATAGCTTTCCCTTCATCCTCTTCGCCTCCGCCCGATCCACACCGTACACCCCGCCTTGGAGATCCCGAGACACGACCCGGTCGTCCCATTCCCTTCCCCACCGGCCGCGCAGGCTCAGCACCGCCTGACGACCAACACGCACTTCTACCCCCAACCGAAGAGTATTCGTGGGAGTGGGGCGCTTTCCCCCAGCGCTCGCCTGTAAAACCGACATTTCCGCGTTCTGGGCGCTCGCCTCTCGGCGTCGACGAGGAACTCGGTCTCCCGCCTAGCGTTGATGCTGTGATCACCGACTTCCATCGGTCGAAGAGCTTGCCGCCTGACCTGGAAGATGCGGGCGCGACGTCTGAGCCCGAGCCGGAGAGGGAACATGGAGAGAAGAGTGGTGACGATGGACCGTTATCGGAGGGAGAGGAAGATCATGCACCCAGGGGAGGTCCTCGGGACAGGGAGGGGAAGGGCACGGGATGGGGAAGGTGGTGGAGGCGCGGTGGCGCGAAGAACAGGACGCAGAGCGTCGACGTGAGACAGGTTGATAGGGAAGGCGGGGATGTCGAGAAGGCGGCCGGTCGATTACGGTCTGGTAGTGGGGCTGAGAGGCCATCGTTGAGGGAGATCGAGAGCTCACCAGTCATACCCGTATGTTCGAGGTCGTATCAATCTGGTTCTATACAGCTAATCAACTTCAGGTTGCGAAGCTGGGCGAGCCCTTGCAGGTAGAGCCGCAACCAGCGACGGCACCTGCCGTACAGATAACACCAGAAGCCTCAGAGCCCGAGAAGCGTTACGCAAAGACCCTGCGACTCACCTCTGAACAGCTGGTAAGTTGCCACCCCCCTCTCAGACTGAGCTCTATTGATAGGCGCCCAGGAAAGTCTTGATCTGAAGCCAGGCGCCAACACGCTCACCTTCTCGCTGTCCGCTTCAGGGAATGTTGCGTGCACCGCCAGCATCTACCTCTGGGAGCATACCGACCATATTGTCGTTTCCGACATTGACGGCACGATCACCAAGTCTGACGCGCTTGGTCATGTCTTCACCATGATCGGCCGCGACTGGACACATCTCGGCGTCGCCAAGCTCTACACCGACATCGCGAAGAACGGCTACAAAGTCATGTACCTCACTTCCCGCGCCATCGGTCAGGCCGACACTACCCGGTGGTATCTCCAGAGTATCAAGCAGAACGACCACCAGCTCCCTGAAGGGCCCGTCATCATGAGCCCCGACCGTCTGCTCGCGTCGTTACATCGTGAGGTCATCATGCGCAAGCCCGAGGTGTTCAAGATGGCCTGCTTGAGGGATATCCAGAGGCTGTTTGGGCCGACCGCGCCACACCCGTTCTACGCTGGCTTTGGCAACCGCATCACAGACGCCATGTCCTACCGTGCCGTCAATATCCCGTCCAGTCGCATCTTTACTATCGATAGCAACGGCGAAGTACGGATGGAGCTTCTGGAGCTTGCGGGGTACAAGTCACCGTACGTTTTCGCACGCTCGTCGTGTGGATGTTATAGGCTAACGTGCACTCTGACAGATCTGTGGCGAGTTACATCCACATGACGGACCTCGTCGACCAGATGTTCCCTCCGATCAACCAGAAGTACTCGACTGAGTACACCGACAACTCCTACTGGAACGCTCCGATCGTAGACGTCCAACTCCCTGACCTCACCCCTCCATCCCCGGCACTATCAGCCCGTTCAGACCAGACGACGGGTTCAACGCTTGCACGTATACGCAACTTCAGCCTGCGCGGACCGCGCGCCACTAGTCCTGAACCTGGGACTTCCACTCCTGCGACTACTGAAGACGGGCAACGCGGGCGGCAAGATGACCGTGAGCGACCGCGTACGCTGTCGAGTATATCGCGTATCTCGGGTGCGCTCGCTAGTCTCAGCCGTAGCGTCAGCCCTGGTAGCCCCTCTGGAACTAGCATCTCAGCTCTTTCCCCCGCGCGATCGACGACGGATATATCGGAAGTTGAGGAGGACGAGTTTTACCAGAAGAGCGAGAGGCGAAGGAGACAGCGGACGCTCAGCATGCCAGGATCGTTGCAGGGTAGCGAGGACGAGGCGTCCGATGGGGAGGATGAGGAAGGGGACGGGGCGTTGTTTGGTAGCGATGGTGGTGATGAGTATGGGGATGGGGATGATGAGGGCGTTGGCGGTGAGATGGAGGAGCCGACGTTTGATGAGGATTTGTTTGCGACGGGCGAGATGAGCAAGGTGCCTTTCCTGTGAGCTTCGGATGCATGCATACACGGACGTTTGGTTGTCGCGCATTGCTTTCCTTTAGGGTATCTGTAACATTGTAATCAAGTCAAGGATTTGCAATTTCGCGGTAGTCTGATTTCAGAGTGCGCGATGGTGGTGCTGATGGGACCCGCTCCTTCCAACTTGAATCTGACGTGGTCGTATTCTCGGGAGCGACCCGTCTGAGTATCCACTTGATAACCAAGGATCCTCCTCCTACATGTAACTGCGATACATACGATCCACCATCCGACCACTACAGAACAGAAATACGAAGGGGAAGCTCGGCCTTGCTTCCCTGTGAACCAGCCTTCGTAGCAGGCGTTACGATCCCACCAAACCTCCAGACGATCTCGTGCTTCTCCGAAGGCTCGAAACGGAACGCGGGCAGGAACTGCGAGAGCATCACCTCTGCGGATCATTGTCAGCATCGAAGATCAAAGAGCTTTGTTCCGTTGTACTCACTCATCTCGAGTTGTGAGAACTTGAAGCCACTGATCAAAGGAAGTCAGCGCTTGAACAACAGGATCAAGGTACAAGGACGTACATGCACGAGCGGCTACCACCAGCAAAGGTGAGCGTGTTCGTGTAGATACCTGGAATGTGAGCGCTGATCACGCTCTCCGGCAGCGGGCTCAACCAACGTTCAGGCTTCCACTCCTTAGCGTCGGGGCCCCAAATCGCAGGATCTGTGTTGACGCCGATGATGTTGCAGTAGACGGCGGTGCCCTTGGGCACAAACACCTCGGACATGATCTTCCCGTTCACGTCCAAGATCGGCTCCTGAAGGGGAAGGACATGGTCTTGTCGGGCACTGCGGTCTGTGTCAGGATGTGACATGCAATGTTGGGAGCGGATCTTAAACCTACACTCGTTGCAGGAAGCGCACGGGCGCATACAGGCGGAGAGTCTCGCGGCAGACGGCTTCGAGGTAAGGCAAGCGGTCGAGCAGATCGTAATCGAGGTTATCCGGCGCGCCGGCTTCGACAAGTTCCTGGCGTAGCTTGGTCTGAACGTCGGGGTTAAGTCCCAGCAAGTAGAGGATCCTCGAGAGAGCGTTCGAAGTGGTATCTGTGCCCGCGAACCTGCAAGGATCGGTCTCAGAGCCAGGTCATGCAATGCAAGCGCAGCATAGACAGCTGAAAGGACTCACAGGAACGTATTGATCTGCCCGAGTAGTTCGTCATCTGGCAGACGATCCTCCTCGGCGGCCTTACTGTTCTCATTGAGGAGGATGCTAAGGATATCGCGACCTTGGCTCATCTCCGAGTTGCTAGCCTTCTCGCCCATAGCATGCGCACGCTTCTTGTCCTCCCAGATCTGCTCGGCGGCCATTGTAAGCGTGTCGACGAGGTTGAACTGCTGCTGCAGTGAATCCATCGGAATGAGCTTCCCTACGGTGCGAAGAAGCCACCCGGGGAAGTTGTGGGTGAGGAACGGGATGAAGGGTCTGTACTTGAACAGCTTGGCGCCGTTGGGTCTAAAGGCGGCGTTGCGATGAGCTATCATAGAAGAGGAGGAGGGGGAGAGGGACTGACATTATGCGTTTGACCGCGTAGCTATAATCTGTATCCGTGCCATTCAGAACTCCAAAGGTGTATCCGAATCCTGCTTGCGATATGAGCTCAAGCGCAGCCCGACCCATGATCTCTACGATGTCTGTCTCCTCGCGACCTGTGCGCTTGATATCGGCAGTTAAGATCTCCCGTAGCTAAGATCGAGAGTCAGCCGAGGAAAGGATGCAAACCGGAAGAGCGCCAAACGAACCTCTTGGGAAACCTTATGGAAGATGGGGATCATGCGCCGTAAATGAGCTTGATTAAACGCTGGATTGACCAGACGGCGCTGGCGTTTGTGAGCATCACCTGTCGGTACCGTGAGGAATGTAACTAAACGAAAGCAGATGGATGTATCGTACCAGCCATAGGCACCGCCAGAAGACCCTTCCCGAATGAAAGACGCGTCAATCTAGTGATCAAAGTGAGTAGAATTGGCGAGATGGCAATGCGCAGAAGCTTTACTCGAGGAAGTATTCCGCGCTGTCGAAGATGTCCACGTGCTTGACAACAATCTCGTACAGGGCCTTCACGTCGGAAGTAACAAGGATTTGAGCCTACAGATGCCACTTCTATCAGCTATGAGGCCCGAGTATGTGAAGATGTAGCACATACACCGAAATAGCCATTGAGCTTGAAGAGACGGCCGTAGGTGTTCATGACGTGATCCTGGTATGACATCGCATGCGGCGTGAAGAATTGAGCGAAGTGTCCTGTGGCAATAGTGAGTGTAGCAACAGAGAGACATTGGCTGAAACGCACCACTCAGAAGCGAGGCATCAGGAGGACCAGCTATTCTCCGCAGCGATCTTTGCTTCCAGAGCCTCTGGACGAGGAGAAAGATGCCCGAGAGCGGGACCAGCGATGCTACTAGTAGCATGTTACTGACGAGTGCCATCTTGCAATGGCGGAGACGCAGTGCTACCAACACCATGCAGAAGACAGGCGCAACCCTTATAAGCCGTCCGCAAGGACAGGCACAGTCCCCGGATCCGGACTGTGCATCAAGCGATCTCTGAGTTAACTCGTGATTGGAATGGCGAAGAAGGCGACAACGAGGACCGCGGAGACTCGGACGTTCTATTGGACGTTATCATGCGCGCGGTGCTGAAAGGTAAGTGGATAGCACTCGGTCATCCTCGAAGTAGGATAGGTTACCCAACGGTCAATGCAAATGGTACAGCTCACATGGCGATCGAGCCCCATGGAACCACCGCCAGCGACGGAAAGTACTGCATAACGCTATGTATACTGAGCGCTGAGCCTTTGCGGTTGACTACAGCACCTTACAAGGTCGCGGCTAGTCGCGGTCGTACTTTGCGCTGCGTGAGATTTTCTAAATGTCGGCATCAGTGGTTCGCCGACGTCCTTCCTGTACCCGATGTCATCTCCCCCACGGAGTCCGGAGATGCAGCCTGATGACCATAAGAGCAGCTCGTCTTCGGGCTGTTTGCGGTCTGGCTCTTGGCTGGGCGGAGATCTTCTCCTTCGTTCTTACGGCAAGCGCCCGCACACATGCAACTGTCTAGCGGTGATTGCGAATAGTGAATGTTGTAGCGTTGCAGGCAATTTGTATAAGCAGTTGTTCGAGATAGAAGCATACTGACCAAACAGCATAAGTACGTAGGATATACCTGTCAGGCGGTCGTCGTCTGGGACAAGTCGCAACGCGCGTCGGCGCGATTCTGAGTCTGCGTTGGACCGGGCCGCGCCACGCGCATCTGTAAACCCTAACCCGAAGGCCTTCGCGAGTGGAGTTTTTGTTTGACTTTCTCTCTTCGCTGTCTCTACCGTAAAACACGCTCCCATATGACGTTAAAGTACCAAATGCACCTATTCTATCAGCCCCGTAGCCCATTCAACATTCCATATGTTTTTTCCATGGAGGGTGAAGCGGCTGGATTACCGGTCAAGCTTATTTTACCGCGCTGATCTTTGCCGAAAATGTTGTGAAAGATTGTATGCCATTTATCTCTGCTTGCGATGGAGGAGCGAGCGCTTGAAAAGCCGCACCCAGAGCTCGTGCGGACGTGGATCCCGAGATCCAATCTTAGTCGCAAAAGAACCCGGCAGCGGTGAGCGCCCACTTAAAGCGTGATGTACACCTACGATCCATACGGGTCTGGTGATGCGCGCGCCGTCAGCACCGGCGATGCCTCCCCCAAAAAATAGCCGGGGTCTTTGTCTTTGCTGTGGGTACCTGTCGTGTCCTAGTCGCTGCGAGCCTTACCCTACTTAGTATGCTGGTAAGCTGTATGATCATAATATGGTGAGCACTTCACGCACTTCATGTCATACTACGCGGACATCGGCTACTATGGATGATCAAACCGCGCATCAAGCGGATTGTATTGCGGGTGAAATCATGTCTGGACAATCGGCCATTTATTGCAGGATGTACATGAGTGAAGGGCTCGACGCGTGGGGCTATATCATATCGCGCCTTCGTGCCTCGATGGGACAAACTGAGACTGATAGTGGCCCCGCGCCTATAGACCTCCCGCGGCATACCAACCTTGTCCCGTCCGCTATGGACTCAAACACCACCTCTTCCAGTTGCTGATGCGGGAGTGAGCGGGACTGCGATCTAGCCAGCGGGCTCAACGAGCGCATAGGCTGGCGATCATCTGTACAGACTACGCGCGATATCGCTTGGTGGAATGGCAAATCTGCCATGCGGGCGAAGAGTGTGAATAGTTTCGGTACGCCCTCAGTCGTACCCAGCTCTAAAGTGGGAGAAAGAAGTCAGAGAAGAGCACAAGTTGGCGATAGGACACGCACAGCGTTCGAGCCAGAAGATCCACAACCCCGCGCAGAGAGCGCCGACGCTCTAGGTGCTTCTTCTCCGACCTATCGCTGTGGCTTGAAGACTTGGAAATGACACCGCTCAACTGGAGCGCGCGCTGCGTGGCCGGCTGAAGCCCTTGTGTCGATGCCGTCTGCCCTCCCTTGCGCTGTCGCATACTGCGCACGCCGACACTCCCGTCCATCGCTAGAGTAGGCATGTACACGCCGCTGAATGCAGAGCGAGGTGGCTCTGGCGGATACTTGATGTGCGGTGACGGAGGTCTTGTAATCGAATAAGGCGGTAAGGATGAAGAAGGGGTGGACGGGGGATCGTAGTGTTCGCGCGATGACATCGTGATAGTTGAGAGTAGTCCGGGCGTTGGTACGAGGAAGAAGAGGGTGACAAAGGGGGATATCCGGTCGGACTTATGTATGGGGCGTGCCCGAGCAATGAGGGTTCTCGCTATCACAGACCTTCCTTTCAGCGGCAACACCGTCCTGTGCTACTCCGTCATGATCCACTCGTTTGACTTTACACCAGAGGCAAGCGATGCCACATAAGAAGCCGCAGATCCATATATTGTACGCGATCCATGCTGGCAGGCGCTCCGGATGGTGACAAGACAGAGTAAACCTGAAACAGTGAGTCGAGAGCATGCCGAAAGTCAATGACAGAGCGTGATCGGCAGTTTAGCTCAGCCCGAGGGCTCGCGCGCCTTTGACGCAGGTATCGGATATAGCCCCGATCTCCCGCTATCAAGTCGCAGTGGCACACTAGGAGGGCATGTCGCATCTGCGATGACTGTGATAACGGCGGTCGTTCTTCGGTAACAGAAGCTTGTACTGTGCATGTGCAGGTAGCCGGCGGCTGTGGATTTCCATATTGCGATACTAGCATAGTCATGCGTCAAGTTCCCGTCGACTTGTCGGAATAAGTGCTCGTGTACATTGACGCAGTTGGAGAGCGCGTGAAGACGACATCGTAGGCGTAAGTGACGGGAGCCAGAGAGAGTCGGCGGCGCCTCGGGCGGCCTCGCCGACAGGGCGGCAACTGCCGCGGTCAACGTCGCGCTCACGTGTGTTTTTCTACCAAGCGACGTTTACCGTTCACCTGCATCCGAACCTGGCGGACGACTCAGTTTTGCGCGTGAAGCCTCAGCCAGTCACTGAGAATTAGATGAAGGGTACTGCTTATCGTATATACGGACTTGAAATGGGCTAATGGGGTGAACGGTAGACTCATGCTACTAGTACAAATTGGTGGTCACGAAGAGCGGCCTACACGGCAGTCGTTTCTCTCGTAGAATATACACATCATGACAGTCGTGAGATACGTAATGGTAGAGCTGGGGTTCCAGGAATGCCTCCCTCCGGACTTGGCGTCGATATTCCCCCAAACACCCAATCGATTCTACGCTTTGATGGCGTGAACTGGAAAGACGTGATAAAATGATATAGTACAGCTTCTGGTAGGAGATCAGTGTTCAGGTAACCAGACAAGCAAGAGGTAACATACTCATCTCTAATAACGAGAACTTATATCCCCTGTAAGTTGAAAGTTAGCTAGATCAATGCCTAACCCCAGACTTTCAATGCTGCACGTACACACACGAACGAGGGCCCCCAGAAAAAGACATACTGGGTCAGTCGTCAGTCACCACGTAGAAAGAGAGTGCAACTACTTGGACTCACATATTACCAAAAACCCCTGGCACACGCGCTTCAGAAAATGCCGTAGGCGTCAGCCACCTCGCCGGTTTCCATTCCTCGGCGTCCGGTCCCCATATACTAAGATCCCGGTTGATAGCCGCTATGCTTATCAATAAGGTCGTGCCGGCTGGTACAAAAACATGTGAGTGAGGGACACCGTCGACATCCAGATGCGGTGAAGATAAGGGCAAAGAGTGGTCGGTATTGGCCCTATATGCATGATCAATGCGTGTTAGACATCTTCAAACGGCTGCCGCACTCACACTCTCTGCAGGAAGCGTATTGGAGGATGCCTGCACAGATCGTATGAGCGCGAGCTGATAGCTTAGAAGTCGGAGATACACATACAGCCTCAGCGTCTCGCGGATAACTGCATCCAGCAATGGTAGGTGATCGAGTACATCGGCATCGGGGCCGTCAGAATGCGTCTCTGCCTGCAGCAGTTCACGTCGGAGCTCATCTTGTACGTCCGGATGTAGTGCGAGGGTGTGCATGATACGTGCAAGGGCGTTTGAGGAGGTATCGGTTCCTGCGAAGAAAAACGCGCTATATAATCAACTCATCAATGCCTGAGCATAATTTGCTTAAACAAGAAGAGTTATACACAATCTGCCCGATTAATTGATCGTCCGGTAGCCTATCTTGAGCCGAGGCCTTGCTGTTCTCGTTCACTGAGAGCGGTTCATGAGCCACGATGCTATCAGGACAGACAGACCCGGCTTACAAAGTATGGAGAGAATGTTCCGTCCCAGTCCGTCGGCATCCACTACGCGAGAGTCCCCCTGCTCATACAGGACCTGCTTCTCCTGCCAAATCGCACGCGCATGCCTGTCAAACGTATCCGATATTTCAATCTGCTCGTGTAATGCGGGCCAAGGCAACGCAAGCGCCGCGCGGCGGAGGAAAGGGGGCGAAAAGATGCTTGTCAAGATGGGTAGCAACGGGCGGTACATCGCAGTCTTCGCGCCTGCAGGTCTGCATACGTCAAGAACATAAAGGTCAATATAACGTCGTATATGCCACGGATATACAGAGACGCACGCAAGCCTCCTGATAGCGTCCCCGAACTCGCTCACACCAGTGTGCAGCGCGTTGAACGTATGTCCAAATCCGGCTCTGGCGATAGACTCCAGGCTTCCGCGGCACATATACTCGAGAACATCGAGCTCGCCGGTGGTGGACTTGGCGGCATCTGCTGAGAAAACGTTTCGCAGCTGCGAAGATCATCGATTTGCGCGTGTGAGGAGCTTTGATTAAGTTAAGATGGTCCCCGTGCTCACCTCGCGGGCCACGGCGTGGAATAGCGGGACCATGCGCTTGATGTTGGCGGTACTGAAGACCTGCGCCGTCAACTTGCGCTGTCGCCGGTGCGTTTCTCCAGTGACCGACAATAGGCCGAGGCCGAAGTACATTCGTACCAGTCTTCAGTGGATGGTCAGGTCAGTGACGGATAGAGATCATGGAAGTTGTGGACATACTCGAGCCAGTATCGCGCAGGTTGAAATATATCAGCATGCTTGCTCACGATGTGCTGGAGCGCAGCGGGATCCGAGACTACAAGAAGTTGCTCCTAATATCCGAATGCAGTATCAGTACCGGCAACTGGCACGCGAGACGACACAGTATGCGTACCCCGAAAAGCCCGTTCAACCTGAAGACACGCCCGTATGTCCGTGCCATTTCATCCTGAAAGGGAAGGGACGCCGGTCCAAGGAACTGCTTCAAGTTGCCTACAACCCGTCAGGATGTATCTGCGCGACGATGTGTACGCATCGGCGTACCGATGAGGAATGATTGCGGTCGTGGCCCGGGGACACTGTATAAAGGGCGCTGGCGCCAGGCTCTTCGAGCCAGCGATAGTGACACGACCGTGAGAAGCGTCAACGGAACAGAGAGCACCACGCGCTCGCCGAGATCATAGTTGGCCAGCAACATCTGCTCTGTACGCGCGGGGATGGAGAAGGCTGGGGCACTCGGAGAACTTCCCATCGGCGTGCGAGGCCTCGTGTGTACTTATACGTCCAGGTCCATGACTTCACAACCGGATGGTTGCCGGCGACGCCGAACTCTCGCGTTGCATGTTTCCGATCCGAGCGAGCGCTGAGCAGGTCGAGTGCATGCCTTGTGGACCCTTGGTGACAGGGCTGTTAGCGCAATTAGGGCCGGGTGGCAGTGAATCTCAGTGAATAGGACGATCTCATACATTTGATCAGGCACACATGCTCGTCGACGGCCCCTGGCTGCCCTGTTTCCACGTACACAAGCCCGGTAACAAGCTTCGCTATATCCGCAGGAGTTCGATTCGCCGCAGGCGTGTCGTGGAGGATTCCAGGTTACCATGGACTGCGAGAAGCTGTAGTGTTGCTGGTATGTCGAGATGGGAATGCTGTGCTGTAGAAATGGACATATGTAGTTAGCGGACGCCTTCATCGATAGGAACACGATACTAACCCCCAAAGTGTACAAGTGGCGTTATAGTACGGTCAGCCGCTCAACGAGAGAGACACGTCACTGACTTCAGGAAACTACGATGCAAAAGCGGTGACAATGGTTTCTGTGTGGCGCATAATTGCTCAGATAAAATGGCGTTCGCCAATAGGAAGGCTCGCATTCGACATGATACTACGGGGCCTGCGCGCATTTGTATCGCATAGGGGAAACTCGAGCTCACGGTAGACCGTCCGATATGGACATCGCACCGGGTGTCACGGTCTGGAATGCACAAACTGACATACTGCCTATAGTGGCATATCTCGTCAGCGGCTAAACCAAATCGATATGGACGAATGCCCGTACTTACTTGTCGGTGAAACTTCTCTCGTCTGTAGGTTTGGCAGCTAATGCCGAGCGGAGCTGCATGAGGGACGATCACACCGGGGGCAGGCTTACTGGACGAGAGCCCACTGTATGCTGCAGAATGCGTAGCGCTCATGAGAGGCTGTTATGGTCTTACGCCCACCCTAAAAGACATTATCATGACAACTTGCGCAGATGTCTGTTGGAGCATCATCGTCTTGAAAACGTCCTGGGACGCACGAACGGTATAGCTAAGCTTCACTCAGATATTGAATGATGGCTCAGCGCATATACCGCTGGGACACCCAATGATTTGCGCGCCGCTGCTTGAAGCCCGCAGACTTTGAACCTCGTACGCCACTTGGCAGAGTACTTCGAGGATGCGGGCGACAGGATGGCGGACGGTAGCATCTCTGGATGCAGCAAAAGCAGATCTCGATTGCGTATAGGTATACATAGTGAGCAATCTAGAGCCATGACGGGACTTCGAGCGGGAGTGTGTGACCGCGTGGTGGCTGAGAAGATGTCAGTATGAAGCGCCGGCATGCAAAGGTGGGTACAGACAGGAAGGTTGCGTTCCCTAAGCAGAGGTAAGTACATGATTCTGATGCAAAAAGTATGTGATCAACGTACCACTTGGTGCCACCCGGTGCGGTTGAAGCTGTGGACAGGTCAGAAGCTGTAAACATGGATATATGATGGACATACGGATGACCGGGTCAAGGTGCTTCTTCGCCTTCAACTCCGCCTCTGCCTTCTCCAGGATCTTCGCCAGCGCACGCGGGTCCCGTACGTTGCTATACTCACGGTCGTCAATAATCGTCTACGTATGATATTTGGGTTATAACGCACCGGTTCTGCTCGAACTGAGCGCGAATGGCGAGTGCACGAGGCCTCCAGAGGTCCCAGCGAATGACCCAGTCGAGTTCGTTCTTGAGCATGCGGCGGTACAGCCCGCGAATATAAGACGTGTGCGCCTGGCTGTACGGGTTCGCCATTGTGGTGGTTACGTTCAAGCCCGTCGCCGCGCGCGCCGAACGCTCCCGTGCGGCGTGGGAACGACCCCGCATGCCCATCAACATTTTTGCAGCTCATGTCATTGGTGCTTTGTTCGAGCCATAATGAGTACCGACACCGTACACTCCAGGCACTCCCAGCACAACGCTACCCGTAAACCGCGTGGGCCACCACTACCTCTCACTCGCCCGCGCCAATCCTCGATGTCGGCTCTAGAAGCATTCGTGAAGAAGAGCGCTTCGCCGGCACCGAGCTCACCTGTGCCACGGCCTGTGGCGACGAATGCAAGAGTCAAAGCTGCTGCACGACTTCACGGTGACATGTATCTGTCATACGTGAACAATGCACTGGCCGTTCGTGGAGAGCCCTATGCGCAACTTCTTGCACGATTTGCGCTGCACGATCTCCCGCCCGATGGGCCTTCTCCGACGGCTGAACTCAAATCTTGGCTGCAGGCGCTCGCTCACGTCGTATCACGACTGGACCAAAGCCACAAGACTCTGGTCGAAGCCATCGTTCGCATGCCATGGCCAGCACTCGATGCTTCATTTGTACGGGCACATTCACAATTTATCGGCATACTCGTCTCCGCTCGACCGGAATACCTCTCGCTGGTCTTGGACACACTCGCACATGGGCTGACATATGCGCCCTTGCCTCCGTCCCTACCGCACTCTCCGCCAGTGACCCGAGGACAAGTCTACGACCGCATTCACGATTTACTCCAACACCTGCTCACGCTGGTCCCTACCCTCCCATCAACACTGCTGCCGCTCCTATCTCGTGCATTCCCCCACAAACGACTACCGCGCGCACATACAGTCGCATATGCGCGAAACCTCTTGAAGGTCGCCAGTTACGCGCCGGAACTGCATGATCGCATCTTAGCGCTCGTCGTGGATCGGGCGCTTCAGATCGACGTCGAGATCCAAGTGGAAATCGAAGAGCTCGAAGAGGCCGCCGCGGATGCCGGCGTAAGCGCCGAGACCGCATTTGAGCTTGATCTCGATCCGTTTGAGGTCGTTGTGGGACAGGAGGGCGGAGAGGAGGACGAGGACGAGAAGGATGATGGAGGACCTGACGGGGATGGGTTTTCGGACCTGAGTAGTGATGTTGAGGGTGAACTTGACCTGGACGACCCACCACCGAAGGGGCAGGATGTTCTCGACGTGCCGCATATACGGGACATGGTTGGCAAACTGGACGCCCTACTGGACGTCTTATTCTCACATATCGACACCCTTGCGCATCCAAGACCGCCGTCACCGACCTCAGCACCGTCTACCCCGATATCACCCACGAAGGGCAAAGGGAAGGAGAGGGAACTAGATCCTGAAGAGACCGAGGAGACACTCCACGCCGCCTTCTTCGCGTTCCTAGCCATCTTTGACCGTTCAATCCTCCGCACCTTCAAGTCCCGCCACACTCAATTCCTCCTCTTCCACCTATCGCAAATCCGACCTCTATTTGCAGAAGAGTTTCTCGGCGCACTCGCGCATACCGCCTTCCTCCCACCGTCCGCCACAAATCCCAATCAGACGGTGCCGAGCGTGACGAGGGCGGCGGCGGCGGGTTATCTGGGCAGCTTCGTCAGTCGAGCGAAGTGCGTCGACGGCGAGGGTGCAAGGAGAGCGGTGAGGATCGTGTGCTACTTCCTTGAAGCACAGTGTGAGGCCGTCGAGAAGAAGACGGGCGCCGGTGCTCCAGCTGCAGTCATCTACGCTGCATGTCAGGCGCTCTTCCTCGTCTTCTGCTTCAGATGGCGCGAGTTGAAGGTTCCCGTGGAGGAGGGTGAAGATGAAACTGGGGAGGGAGAGGGGAAGTGGATGCCCGAGTTGGACGTGATACCGCGCTTGCTGGCCAGCGAGCTCAACCCACTCCAGGTAAGCATGCTTCGTTCTGCTATATTGCTGCATGATCCCTGACCTCCTTGCTCGTCGTAGGTCTGCGCCGCACCTGTAGTCGAGCAATTCGCACACGTATCTCGGGCATCCGGCTTCGCGTACATCTACCCGCTCCTCGCATCGGCTCGCCTTCACCCACTGCCCACCGCAACCCGCGAAAGACTCCTGGGCGAGCTGGGCACATTCTTCCCTTTCGATCCGTACAGGTTGCCGAGGAGCGCAAGATGGGTTGAGGAGGGGTATAGGGAATGGAGCGAGGTCGCTGTTGAGGGCGATGATGACGAAGAGGAGGAGGATGCCGAGGAAGACGATGATGAGAAAGAAGACGATGTCGACCTCGGTGTGAGCTTTGGCGGGATGAGTATCTCGCCAGCTGTTCCAGCCGGGTTTGCAATGAGCGTCTCGGTCGGGTGAAGCACTCAGGTGGTGGAGATTATGTGTATACACATCACTAGCGGAGGGGTTCTATTCTCATTGGACTCTTGTTGTACTTACGTTCTTTCGGGTATCTGTGTATGTTGTTCCATATGTGTTCTGAGTTTTGCTATGCATGTGCTTTGCTTTGAACCTTTGACTTCGCTGAATGCTGTGAGCTTGAAGACACTGGGTATAAATTTGCTCCTATATACAGCACGCAATGTTCTCTACGATCGTCCATTCGATCTCTCAATCTTCAGCTGCTCTCTCAATCGCGCCCCATCCTCCAGCCTCCCCAGCAGCGATCGGTACACCCCTCCATACCCTACCGCGTACGCCCTCCTCCCATTCCTCAACCGTATCCGCGCACTGACCACACATATCATGGTCCCCAGAGTCGATCATACTTCTCACACTATGACTCGCCCCAGCCTCCAATCCTTTCTCACGTACAGCAGCCTCAAACAACCTCACGTTCTCAGCGCCTATCCCGTCACACGCCTCGCACGTCCTGGGTTCGAACGTGCTCCTGCGCAGAGCATCTTCGACGAGCGCGTTGAGCTTCTCCCGGAACTCGATCACCCTGCGGACCGTATCCTGTCCTGCACGTACGCGCCTCCCGTCGTCCAGGGCGAACCCATCGAAGACCTCGCTCAGAGGGACGCGTGCGGCGCGCAGAAGCGCAGTAGGCGCGATGGCGGGAAGACGGGCGCGAGCGGCGATTTCGAGCGCTAAGAGCGGGTGTGCATCACGCGGGAATGCATGCGCGACAACGAAGCTTGTATCGTGCTCCCGTCCGCGGGAAAGATAGGGGTGTGGGCAGTAGAGTGCCGTGTATGCGTCGAGGGATGATGGGTATATGGTGCGGAGATAGCGCGAGAGTTCGGTTAGGAGGCTGTGGGCGCCGTACGCTCTTGCGAGGGCGAGGACGGCACCGATAGTGAAAAGCGAGGAGAGACGCTTGTCTTGCAGGAATCTGTGTGAAGAGCTGCATCAACACCATGGTCACGGATTAGATGGCAAGCCACGTACGATCGATCATATAGTGCTCGCAGGAATAGTACCACATCATCCGGTGCATCTGAGAGGTGCAGCACAGGACACCCCTCGATCGTCTCATCTTGTGGCTCCTCCCTCCGAACTCGCCTCGGAGGCGAACCAGCGGTGAGAACCTCCATCATCATCTCGGCCTTCGACTGCGTCCTGGCCGTATGACCCATCCTGAAGCTGCCTGCACCGTTCGAACTCGCCGCAGATCGAGGGGACGATACCCTCGTCGATGTCTGGGAGGGGAGGCGAACCGGCAACAGCTCGCGGAAAGCGGCGCAGTGCATGCGCAGGACGCCTGCATGCACGCGAAAGCCGGTGCGCCCGCAGAGCAGAACCGCGCTCCCGTCTATGAACCAGAAGTCGGGGTGGCGGTCAATGTCTGGTCCACGATCCGACTCTTCTTCGTGATCTTGATTGTGGATAGCTTGTTCGACATGGAGGGAAGAGTGGGGCACAGATGGAGCGGGAGCGCGGACGGGCACGCTGTCATCGAATGGATCGGGCGTGTCAACGCGTTGGTAAGGTGGTGGCGGGCGAGCCGGGTCTGATACGAGTCGTGGCATGGGCGGGCGAGGCGCATTGAGGCGCGCACTGGGCATCGGAGGCGGCACTGGGAGCATAGGCGTTGTTCCCGTGCTCGATGTTGATGGCATGCGAGAGATGTTCGGGAGAATAAGCGGGCTGGGAGTGTGCGGCGTTTGTGGCGATACTGGTGATGTTGGCGGCATTCCTGTGAAGATCATGGATACTGGGATGCAATAGAGGGAGGGATAAAGGGTAGACTGCAAGCCCTCTTCCAATGTTTATGAGTCGCATGTGGGCCCGGCTATCACCTCGTGTTCTGTGCGTGCTCCAATGTCTCCTTACGCATGTATTCCGCACGACAAAACATGATGTTGTAGACGCAATCGTCACCATGCATACGAGGGATAAACATATGCATCCTGGTGAATTCGCCGATCGGTTGGCGAAAGCAGACTGTTCTTTTTAATTGGTGCAAAAAGATATCGCGCCGGACCGCGAATGTCACGTTACCGCGAATAGTACGCTTTTCACTCTTTTTCACTCGATTCAAGTGTAACTTACAAGCTGGCGGCGCCATAACCAGATAACCGTGCCACAGCCATGTGTTGTATGCTTAGACGAGACTGTAAACGCAGCTCTCAGCACCGGGCTGATGGTCAACGCGTCCAAGTAGCGCGACGACGCAATCGCGCGTGCTTCGCGTGGGCGCGGCCAGCGCTTGATAGCGCAGTCTGCATCAAGCGCCGACGCGAGCGGACTTTCCCTCACACGATCATGACAATGGTCATGGATTGGGATACCCAGACCCAGTTTACGCTTACCCGAATCTACCACTTTGTCACATCCTATCTATGCTTATGAGTAGCCTTGTGGAAGTAGTCGGCCACCGCTCGCCGGATAGTGTGTCTACCTCATGCTTCTCTCCGCGCACATCAAAAGGCAACTTCCGACTGAATGGGCTCGCAAACGCGACCGAGAAGCGCTGATGTGCGCTACCGAGCGCCTACAGTGACTCCGCTGAACTTCTCACCAATATGACAGCGGGTCGATTCGAGATACCACGCCGCTAGGTTCTTTGGTTCGTGCTTGACTGCCGACTACGAGGAGCTTTGCTCTAGTCATATAGTCCCCCACCTTCGTCGCGCGCTGATTGACTACCCCACGCCATGGACCTGCAGGTCGTTGTGAACGCGGTCACATATGTTATTACGCCAGAGGATGCGCCTGTGCCGTGCGTAGACTTATCCGTAGTGCTCGCGTACTCTGACTAATGCCTCGTATCGCAGATTATGGAGGGATATACGCATGATACCTGTCTACGTTGCAGCCGTATCGATGGTCATTGCGGTCCTTTCGTCAATATCTCGCGCCTTGCATAGCACACTTTCGGAGGTCACCCACCCACACCAGCAAAACATTACCCCCAAAAGCCTACGCGCGCATATCCTCTCGCTCGGTGGAATCAGGATATATGCCTTTAGAGTCGCTCGGACAATAAGTATATTCGCCCTACTCTTTCTCTACGCGTACGAGTTCGTGCGCGACGTCAAGTCGCGCGATCACCCGGGACATATGGCGAAGGACGAGATACTCGGCCTTGTGCTCTTCTTGACCTATGTGCGTACTCAAGCTTCAGAACATGTACAACGCACTCATGCGGCCTCTAGCTTTACGCATCCGGTCTGGCTCTTCTCAACATCGTAGCGGAAGCACCATTAGCTCGGACAGCTGCGCCCCACCTGGTGCTCATCCTGCTCGCGAGCAGCGCAGTGTACGGCTTCCGTGACATATGGCCACTCATGACCTACACACTCCGACCAGTCGATGCGCAGGCAGGCGCACTTCTATGGGTCAAGATTGCTTTACTCGCTGTGGCGGGAATCGTCATCCCGCTCATTGTTCCCCGGCAATATGTCCCTGTGGATCCAGAGGTACCTTGTTCCATATGCTCGCTTATGCAGAAGGCTAAGAGAATCCAAGAACCCATCTGCAGAACCCAATCCGGAGCAGACATGCTCGCTCTTGTCGTTGCTCACGTACAGCTTCTTGGACAAGCCCATATTCACCGTGTACCACAATCCTCAGTTAGCCTCCGAAACACTACCCGAGATTGCAGACTACGATCGCACAGCACACCTCGTGGACCGCAGTTTCAAGCACCTGGACGTCTTCTCGGGTGCTCCACGCCAACATATGTTCTTCGCACTCATGCGCATCTTCAGTCAGTCATCTCATAGAGATGAAGATCGATGGTCATGCTAACTTCGAACAGGGGTGGAATATATAATCCTTTCTTTATTGATGATTGTGCGCGCTTGTACTTCACTCTTTGCGCCTGTGGGCATCAATCGGCTTCTTGCGTAAGAGGCACACTCTCGTCTGCTGTCCGCCATCACTCATGATCGGGATAGATATCTTGAGTCGGGCGGAGAAGGCGCAATGGTGCGGCCATGGGTTTGGTGTCTATTCATGTTTCTGGGTCCCTTTGTGGGCACCGTGACGATGCAGTACTATACTTTCACTACCGTACGTGCCAACGTTGTACGAGATTGTGCAGAACACAACTGACGTCAATGTTTGGCAGACCGGGACGATGGTGCGGGCCGAAGGCATCATCACACAGCTTGTCTTTGAGCATGCCTTGCGCTTGCGCGTGAAGTCGGAGACGGCGAGCACACCCCCACCGTCTGCGACGCAGACCCCGGAGACTGCGTCCATCGTAGAAACAGACTCCGGAACCGTCGTCGGAGAGGGTTCTGAATCCGGGACCTCTCATCAGGGAGAGGCGAGCTCTTCAACCGCCGTTTCCTCGACGTCCCAATCGAGCAACAAAGATTTGGGCAAGGTCAGCGACCAGAAGGACAATGCTGGCAAGGAGAAAGAAAAAGAGAAAGAGAAGGGCGATAACTTTGTCGGCAAGATCAATAACCTGGTCACCACGGACTTGCAAAGCATCGTGAACGGCCGCGACTTCACCATGGCGGTCGTGTTCACCCCAGTAACGATCGGCATATCCCTATACTTCTTGTACCTGGTGTTAGGCTGGAGGTACGTCATGATGTTCGTCTTCACGATGCTCTCAAACAAGTACTCACTAATCGTTAGCGCTTTCGTCGGAATGGGTGTCATGGTCGCATGCTTACCCATACCGGCATACCTTGTGAAGAAGTTGCAGGAGGTACAGAAGACGCTCATGAAGAAGACGGACGCGCGGGTTCAAGCAGCTACTGAGATGATGGGTGTCTTGAGGATGATTAAGATGTTCGGCTGGGAGGGGAAGATTGCAGAGCGCCTCAGCGTGAAGCGCATTGACGAGCTTCGCTGGCTGCGCACTTCGGAGATGATTGACCTCGGTAATGACGGTGTCACTCTGTGAGTGGATATGAGTCGACAGCGTAGTTCTATTCCCGTGTACTGATGCCCGTTCTCTTGCAGCTTTATGCCTGTCTTCCAGATGTTAGCCACCTACGGGACGTTCACGTTGGTGATGGGAGGCCGGCTCACACGTAAGAGGGATTCGATACCGCTATATGTTCCTACTGCTGATGTCGTTGATAGCCTCTATCGTATTCCCGTCGATGTCCGTCTTCATGCTGCTTCGAAATCATATGAGCATGTTCTTCTACTTCGCCTCGCCTATCATCAAAGGTATCTCCACGCCTTTTGCACCCGGACACATACTAATTTCATTGCACCCCTTTTAGCAAAGGTATCTTTGGACCGTGCAACAGAGTTCCTTCGCGAGACGGAGTTACTGGACCGGTATGCGCAGATACGCGACAAACCGACCTCGGACGACCTTCTTCTCGGACAGCCCGCAGATTCCGCAGTCGTTGGCATGTGCGACGCGTCATTCACTTGGGCTGCAGCCTCATCTTCGTCCGATGGCACACAGACCCCCTCGCGACGCACTTTCACTCTGCGTGTGCCGGGAGAGCTCATTCTCGAGCGGGGCAAGATCAACATCATTGTCGGACCGACAGGCAGCGGCAAGACAAGCTTATTGATGGCTTTGCTCGGCGAGATGCACTTCAGTCCACTCGTAGGCGGAGCATGGGTGAATCTTCCGCGCACGCGTGGTATCGCGTACGCCGCCCAAGAGAGTTGGGTTCAAAATGAGACTATCCGCGACAACATCCTCTTTGGCGCTCCCTATGAGGAAGTTCGCTACAAAAAAGGTGCGTGCACTGTGATCTTCACCGACACTTGAGGCTGACCCGACTTCCAGTCATACATCAATGTGGATTGAAGCGCGATCTGTCCCTCTTCGAGGCTGGCGACAATACCGAGGTCGGCGAGAAGGGTCTAACTCTCAGTGGTGGCCAGAAGGCGAGAGTAACGCTTGCCCGCGCTATCTACTCGTTTGCGGATGTGCTCCTACTGGACGACGTGCTGGCGGCCTTAGATGTACACACCGCTAAGTGGATCGTCGACAAGTGCTTTAAGGGCGATCTCGTCCGTGGTAGAACGGTGCTGCTAGTGGTACGTGATGTGCTATCTATGTATCTGCACCCGGCATATGCTGATACTGTTCATAGACACACAACGTCGCCCTCGCTGGTACCATCGCCGATTACGTGGTTTCCCTTGGAAGTGATGGCGCCATCGCCGCCAGAGGATCGTACAAGGAGGTCCTTGCTAAGGACAAGGAGCTGGCTGATGAGGTCGCCCAAGAAACAGAGATCCTCGCGAAGGTCGACGAGGAAATCGAAGAGCCTGAGGATTTGGACGACCCCGCGACTGCCAAGACCGACGGAAAGTTGATCGTGAAGGAAGAAGTCGCGGAAGGTCATGTCTCCCTGCACGCTCGTGAGTCTCAGACATTGTCTATGTTACGTTGCACATCCTCACAACTGCATACAGTGAACCTCTTCTGGGCGGCTCTGGGCGGCAAGCACCCTGTACTATTTTGGCTCTCTTTCTTCGTTTTCATCTTCGGATATCACATCCTTGCGAGCTCCCAGGTAAGTACTTGTGCGTATATGTACCGGATATCTTACTTACATGCAACTAGTCATTTTGGCTAGGTCGCTGGGCAGACGCATATTCACGCCCGGGAGAGGTCGATGTCATCTAGTGAGGGAATCGTCCCCTCCGCACGTTTCACCGCTGATATCGCATGTCCGCACAGCTACATGGCCAACTTCGTCCTACTTGTTGCATGCACCACAGTTTCGTACCTCATCTACAGCGCCACCTACGTATTTGGGATCCTTCGAGCAGCGAAGAAGATTCACGCCCTCCTCATCGACTCCATCCTTGGCACAACACTGCGATGGCTGGACCAAACACCAGTGTCAAGGGTGATCACCCGCTGTACGAAGGACATCAAAGCGATTGATGGACAGTTTGCGGGAGAATTCCGCTGGCTCAGTGCGTTGGTTTCCCATATGGCCTGTGCGTCAGTGTACTGATTGGACGTAGTGAGCGTCACCGCGCAATTGATCACCCAGCTCGTCGCCATCGCGCTCATCACTCCCGCCGTAGTCTTCCCTGGCATCGCGGTCTTCTGCGTCGGCGCTTGGTTTGGTAACATCTACATGAAGGCACAATTACCGGTGAAGCGCGAGATGAGCAACAAGAAGGCGCCTGTGCTCGGTCACTTTGGCGCTGCTATGACTGGTCTTAGTGAGTCTCATTATGTCCGTTCGAGAATCTTGTGTTGATCAACGGTATAGCATCCATTCGGGCATACGGCGCGGAAGCCGCATTCCGCAAAGAGTCGTACAAGCGCATCGAGAACTATACGCGTTCGGGTAGGATGTACTACAACCTGAATCGTTGGATCAGCACCCGAAGCGACGCGCTCGCCGCCCTCTTCCCGTCTGGTCTCGGGGTCTACATGGTTTATGGGCCAGGTGCCGCAGCCATCGGTGCATCCAATGTCGGGTTCTCGCTCGCCATGGCTGGTGAGTAGTAACGAATATTCATCGGACATGTTACTCATATGCCTTCAGCTGCATTCAGTAACATGATACTGTACGTGCACTCTCAGCGCGAGATCTCAAGATCTCATGAATTGCTATACTGACAAGTAGTGTAGGTGGTGGGTCAGAGTGTTCAACGACTTCGAAGTCGAGGGCAATAGTCTCGAGCGCATTCAGGCATACCTCGAGATCGAGCAGGAGCCGAAGCCCGTGAAGGAGAAGGTGCCGCCGGCATCATGGCCAACTAGCGGTGAACTGCGTGTTGAAGGACTCTCTGCGCGTTACTCCCCGGAAGGTCCCAAAGTCCTTCATGACATATCGTTCACCGTACAGTCCGGAGAGCGTGTCGGCATCGTCGGTCGCACCGGCAGTGGAAAGAGCTCTCTCACACTTTCGCTCTTGCGCTGCATCTATACCGACGGCGACGTCTACTACGATGGCGTCAACACGGCAAACCTTAACCTCGACGTCTTGCGGACCAACGTCACCATCATTCCTCAAGTCCCCGAGCTGTTGAGCGGGACGCTGCGCGAGAACCTGGATCCGTTCAGCGAGCATGACGACGCAGTGCTCAACTCGGCGTTGCGCGCATCAGGTCTATTCTCTCTACAGAGTGAGACGGACGAAGGCCGCATCACGCTCGACTCGCAGATCTCGAGCGGTGGCGGCAATCTCAGCGTCGGTCAACGTCAGATCCTTGCGCTTGCCCGCGCACTTGTGCGTGGTAGCAAGCTGCTCATCTTGGACGAAGCGACGTCCTCGATCGACTACGAGACGGATACCATCATACAGTCCTCACTTCGCAACGAGCTCGGCGGCGACGTGACGCTTCTCACCGTCGCCCACCGTCTGCAGACGATCATGGACGCTGACAAGATTGTATGTTCGCTCTGCTCTTGATCTCGATGTTTGCTGATGCCTCCCTCAGATGGTTCTTGACGCTGGTCGAATCGTCGAGTACGACAGCCCTAAGGTCCTCCTGAAGAAAGAGGGCGGGTTCCTGAAGTCGCTCGTGGACGAGAGTGGTGACAAAGATGCGCTGTACGCGATGGCGGGTGGGGTCGTCGATGCAAATTAGGCTCTCAGACGCTTTTCTTCCTCAAGTTCTTTGTGCTCCAGTTAGCTCTGCTTCCAATGTCCGTAGATTCGCCCGAGGTATAGCTCCAAGGGTCATTCGTATAGGATAGTAACGGTGGCCATGAGATGATGGTGGCGTGAAGACGAGAGCCAAGCATCGAGATGTTGATATTCAATGACATAACACGGATTTGTGGCCACACACGTGGCAATCCTGCGTTGTGCGCATCGACAAGCTTACCTGTAACCACTCTGTGGACGTAAAGGCCACAGGCGCTGTGGTTAACGATCTTCGTCTGATCGAGTATAAACTTGAGATCGCACCTCTCTCCTTCGATTGCTATACCTTTACGAAGTCGACATCGCTTTTCAAAAACCTCTTCATGCTGAAAATCCTCGATATCAGCACTCTGTCAGTCTCAACGCCGCCGCTACTCTGCCAATTCTCCTCGCGGAGACCAACGTATTCCGAAAGCCAGCCATCCGGCTCACCTTCGAGCGCTACTCGAATTTGGAGCTTCGTAGCAAGGCATCTGATCACCGGTCGCCGGCTCCTTCGACGTGCCACGTCCCTCGAGATGGATACAAGTACATTCATTTCAGTTGCATAAGACACAAAACAATCATCGGTTCGTTCGTTACTCCATATCCCCTTCGCCATACTGAGGCATGCAGCGATATTCCAAGCGCCGCATCTATCCCCAACATCTACGCCTTCGCCTTCTTCGGCTTTGGCCCATAGTATTGATAACCGTCCCGCTGCAACCTCGCCCTTACCCGCACCTCCCCATAATCCCTCAACCACTTCTTCACTGTCCTGCAACCGGCCTCCTGGATATGGCGCAGAAGAGCGTCTCCGCGCGAGAGCGTCATCGAGCAATACTTGCAGGTCTCGGCGAGGGAGTTAAGGTGGACCTCCTGCGCGTGGCGATTGCGCTGTGTATTGTCATCGAACGTCATCCCGCATGGCGCGGACACGGTGATACTGCCATCTTCATGGACCGTCGACGGCACGAAGCTGCACTCGTGGGAGTTGGCATTATCGCCGAACGCCATCTTGTCCATCGAGATCGAGCTGATCACGGTCCACCTCTTCTCCTCCTCCGCATTCTTCCACCTTCCCGTGCGCTTGCTTCCCGTGCACTTGCTTCCCGTGCGCTTGCGCCGTGGCGCGTTGGCTGAGCGGGAAGTGGCATGTGTGTGCGACGGTACGATCGTCGGGGCGGTCACGACCTGCGCTGCTCTGTAGCGCGCCGACGTGGTTCCGCCGACGTCGTCCGACTGGGCACCTCCCGCGAGGGCGGCGCCGGTTGATACTACGTTAGTTGCGCTCAGGTCTGCGCTGCGAGCGACAGCCTGAGGCGTGCGGTAAGGAGCAAAGCGCCCACCGCTGTTTGTGTTGTGCGAAGTCAGCGGGTGAGCTGGGTGGATCACGTCAGCTCGTGTTACTTGACACTTTGCTGTAGGGTGGACGGACCTGACGTAGAGCGCCTCAAGGCTGCCAAACTCGCCTCATACCGGTGCATCAATACGTTCGCGGCCTCCTCCACAATTTGTTGTACAGCCGGGTCATGATAATGCATCGCACCCCGATTCATTTCCACCGACCGTTCGAAGGTGTGAACAGTAAATGACGGCGTAACCGGGTTCAAGGATGGGGAGTGGCCATTGGTGTTCAACGTCAATGACGGTGCCGAGGGCGGTGCGCGCGTGATGGGAGATTGGGCCGCATCGGACAAAGTGGAGGGAGTCGGGGCAGCGAAGGTATGCGTGGTCCCCTCGTCGTTGGAGATGCTCCCGCCACTGGCGTCGTTGACGGTGTGGTTCCCGCTAGGTGGTGCGGCAACAGCTCCAGGAAAGGGCGAGGAGATTATGAATGCCAGCATGTCGTCGATACTAGCCTGCTCCGGGTATCCAGCCTGTTCCGGGGCCTGCAAGGCAGAGAACTATCGCATGTGGTCAGGTTGGGAAAGAAGATTTGTGAGTGGCGCGGCAAACGCACCTGCCCCATTCCTCCATATTCCGTGCCACCGGGATTCATGTCATCCATCGTGGAGTGGAGAGGCTATTGTACTTGTCAGTAGAGACCACAGACTTGTACGATGAACCACATACCGCATAATGAGACGTGTGGGCGAGCGGATATACCCGAGACCTGATTCCAGCACGCTGCATCGCAAGATCGAAAGCACAGGTAGCTCAGGAAGCACTCGCGTGTTGTAGCGAGCAAGGATATGTAGTAAGGATGCGCCCTTCAGAAGGGACGCAATGGAGGGAAGAGGTAGGTTGCCGCACACCAACGTTCGGCCGCGGTCTGATATAGAGGAAAACGCGGTCACGTGCGATGAACGTTGCCACAAAGAGCCGCTGTGGTTTTCGCACGGGAGCCCATCAAGCACGCGTTCATCCTCAGCCTGCTTGATTTCCCCTAATTTTACTCATGCATGGTTGCGCGAGCTGGAGGTCTTATCGTCATCCCTATTTCTAGGGCGACATGGTAATGGATCTTGCACTCTACCAATCGGCTAGGATACGCTCCAAGCCTGAGGCCGCGAACGGCGTTCGTACCACTGTATGATCTTACTAGCCTCTTATCCTATACTAAAAAATACTTTTCATGTATGCTGCGAGCAATATTTGGACGTTCAAAGAGAGCAGGATCGCGCAAGCACGGGTGGCGACGGGGGACAGAATGGCGTCGAGCGATAATACAGTACACTGCTACGATGAAGGCATAAAATACTCAGACCCCTAGTCCAAATAGGCTCACGACGGCCATAGGCGGCGTTTTTGTCTGACCGCAGAACGCGAATTGGTACTTAGATGGATGCCAGCAGACGGTTGGCGAATGTGCTAGGGTTGGCACACGGTGAAGCAATGCGCCAGTTTCTGTTGCGCACTGACGAGGTATAAGTACGCTTTTCCAAGATCGTCGGGATGGCGTACTCACAATGTCGATGAATGACCCTTGACTTGCAATGGCGATGAACTCGCCATCGAATGAGAAGCTGACGCAGGTCACCGAGTGGCTGCGAATCTAGTAAGCTCAGAAGCACTATGCCAGACTGACGGGTACGTACTCGCAGGACGCAATCGTCCTTGTGCATATCCACTCGGACGTATCGAAGAAGTTCACAATGGAGTCGTTGCCGCCGGAGACCAAATAATGCCCTCTTGGATCCAAAGCTGCAGCGCTACAGCCAGAAACATGCGCCGCAGCGTTCTCTAAAGCCTATTACAGCGAGTGTCAGCGTCGAGTATGACCGTGACCACACTATAACACACCTTCAGGGCCGGGAAGTCGTAGACGCGAATGGTATGTTGATTGTTGTGCGTCAAGATGATGCCGTCTCCCGCGTGATTGAAGATGGCTGTTGAGCCAAACAAATTGGAGGGCTGCTTCTGCAGGGTCCGTTGGATGCATGACCGAAGAGCAAGTAGCCTATAACATACCCCTTCATCAAAGTAGGGAGCCCATGCCTCCTTCCCGTCGTCATTCTTCCGGAGGCCAAAGATGTAGACGGTGTTGTTGGTACCCACTACGAGTAGCACGCGACCGTCGGGGGAATAACTTGTTCTTGCCGGGGCGAACTTCAGAGACAGCGTCTGGGTTGGCCGCGTTTCTGTTGTCTTTCAGTGCTCGTTCAGAGTGCAGTGCATGAAAAGAAACGTACGCCGCGCATCCCAAAAGACTATACGCCGATCCCTTCCAGAGGCAGTACAAAGCAATTCGGGGTGCGTGGGATTCCACGAGCAGTAGTCAATCTCCTCTGTATGTCCACCCGATAATATTTGATTCTGTCGTGAGTCCATCTGGTATGCTTCTCGTCAGCACATCTCAGCTATACGTGTGACGCAAAGCCGACGTACGCTCTTCTCCGGCTGCCATATTCGCACAAGCTTGTCTACGCCCACAGCAGCTAGCTTCTTCCCATCGCACGACCAGTCTACATGCGTCATCCCGTTCGCGTTGGTGATCCTCATGTCGCGAGGTCGGAAGAGTGCAAAGTTCGGTGCCTGAGCAGGTTCGCCACAAGTTCGACGTTGGTAACTTGTTCCTCGCGAGGATATTTATTCAGCGTACATGAAGGCCGCGTGATGCGAAGGTCGTGTGAGGCGGCGGTGAGGGCGGGCGCTCGACCTCGGGGAGCTCATCTTCTACTGGACCGTTCGCCATTGTTGGAGGTATGAGAACAAGGACGCGAGACGCGTCGCGTCGCGTTCAGAGCTTATCGGCATCTTCCGTGCTTCCGATCAAACATGCGTATTCACACTTATGACAACGTTAGCGAGTAGCGACGGTATTACAGGAATACTGTATGTATATAGACAAGTCTCAAAAACTCTAGCGCAAGCGATTTACTTGCTAATCATAGCATACAACGCGTCCTTGTCGCCACTCTCATCAACGAGTGACTTGAAGAAGCCGCCTTCCTTCTTCACCAGCACCCTTGGGCTATCGAACTCCACAATGCGACCGGCATCAAGCACCATCTGCAGAGTAACATGAGCGCACATCGAGACCGAAGATGAAAAGAACATACAATTTTGTCGGCATCCATAATGGTCTGCAGGCGGTGAGCAACCGTGAGCAGTGTCACGTCGCCACCGAGCTCGTTGCGGAGCGAAGACTGAATGATGGTGTCCGTCTCGTAGTCAATTGACGACGTCGCCTCGTCCAAGATCAGTAGCTTGCTACCGCGCACAAGAGCGCGGGCAAGCGCTAGGATCTGGCGTTGACCGACACTCAAGTTACCGCCGCCGCTCGAGATCTGCGAGTCGAGCGTGATGCGGCCATCATCGGTCTCGCTCTGCAGCGAGAACAAACCCGAGGCGCGGAGAGCGGAGTTGAGCACCGCATCATCGTGCTCCCCGAACGGGTCCAGGTTCTCGCGCAACGTGCCACTCAACAGCTCCGGCACTTGAGGGATGATCGTGACATTCGTGCGAAGTACGTCGAGGTTGAGGTTCGCGGTGTTGACGCCGTCGTAGTAGACATCGCCCTCGGTGAAGATACACCGCAGTAGCGAGAGTGTCAAAGAACTCTTCCCGCTACCTGTACGTCCGACAATGCCCACACGTTCGCCAGACTTGACGTGGAAGGAGATCTCATGGAGAACCTTGGGACCGTCTGGAGAGTACCGCGCAGATAGACCCTCGACACGCAGATCGCCACTCGTCGGCCATGCAGCCGCGGGCTTCTTCTCTTCAACAGGCTTCGGCTCCTGTTCGATGACCATATATCCTTGCAGACGCTCGAGGCTGTTGCCCTTGACCTCGAAGTCGTTGTAAATCCGCACCCACCACAGGATCATGCTGCTGAAACCAACTATAGATACTGTTAGTACTCCGTCAGAAGCCGGGGACAACGTCACGCACCGGCCATAGTCAAAGAGAAGCCGACGTTGGATGGCAAGGCACTGCCGTTGGATGGACCGTAGACGAGGTAAGCACCAAGGGCCGCCGAGAAGAGGCCACCGACGACGTCGATGCGAGTACTGATCCAGCGGTTCAGATTGTAGAATGTGCGACCAGCACGCGTGTAGTCATCGATGCGCCTGTACGACTCCAAGCGGAAAGCGTGCTGGGCACCATAAGCGCGGATGGATGCTACGGAGGCATGAGCGACGATCAAGACATCTGGGGAGCAGTAGACATACTGATACCGGCGATGGCGGCACCGAAGTGGCCGAGTACGGGCGCGCGCTTGTTCGACATCTCACGCTTGACAGAAAGCTGTGCAGCCATGTACACATTGCCGAACCAACGGCCGATAACGAAGACGAGAAGGCCGGGAACGAGGAAGGTGGGGGTGACGATGACGACGGCGATGAGTTTGATGATCATGGTCGCCGAGACCTGAACGAGCCACTTGAACTCGGTAGCGAAAGGACCGTCGACAGCATGAATGTCCTTAGTTGCCCGTGTGATGATGCGCGAGGTAGGCGTCGAGTCAAGGAAGCGTAGTGTCGTACCGAGGATGGCGTCCATAAGCTGCGCGTGAATCTTCCTGGCAGCACGAATGACGCCGAGAGTGTACACCCAAATGCCGGTGAGGAACGAGACGGAGGACCCCAGGACGAATAGGCAAAAGACGCCAAGATAGCTGGATCGTGGTCAGCCTCCGCCATGAACGGCTATTCTGGGGCAGACTTACAAGACCGCGCTAACATGCGTGCCAGAACCAGCGTTGTTGTACGCATCCGCCCAGCGACCCATCCAGTATGTTTGAGTGTTTACGAAGACATCGCTCATGGTGACACCGCCGAGGAAGGCTATCCAGAACAGTGTCCCGTGGTTCCCACCAAGTGCGGAGAAGAATATGCTCACTACAGCCAAGTCAGGACCAACAAGTCCATTGCGTATAGGCGCACTCACGAGCTTTGAAAGAGACGTGTCCCTCGGCGACCTCTTCCTCGACGATGAGTTTACCATCTGACTTGCGAATTACGGTGTCGAGATCGTCATCGGCCTCGTCGATCTCCTCTTCTGCCTTCTCGAGAGCCTGTGCGTCCTCCTTCGCTTCTTTTGCAAGATCCTTGTCCTTGGCGAGCACGTCGGAGTATGAACCGCGAGCCGCGATGACACCGTCGCTATGGAACGCAACGACGTAGTCTGAGATAGGGCCGGCGAGAGCAACATTATGCGTCTGTGAGGTCGTATGTGCGAGAGTACTTTCAGGATGAAGACAGAGGAACATACGACAAGGATGACCGTACGACCGCGCACGAGCTCGCCCTTCAAGCACTTCTCAACGATCCACTTCGCAGTGTGCACGTCAAGGGCGGCAAGAACGTCGTCAAGCAACAAGACCTCCGCAGATGAGTAGATGGCGCGGGCAAGAGTGATCCGGGCTTTCTGGCCACCGCTCAAAGTCAAGCCCTTTTCGCCGACCTCGGTCTTGTCGCCGGCGTCGAACAAGGACAAGTCGCGCTTGAGACCGCACTGGTAGATCACTGAAGGAAGAGCTCTTCAACAATCAATCGAAAGGGTAGAGTAACGGCGAGCGTACCCTTCTTGTAGCGATCCGCGTTGTAAGGCGCGCCGAACAGGATGTTGTCGCGGATAGTCTCGTTCTGCACCCAGCTCTCTTGCGCGGCATAGGCGATCCCACCCTCTCGTGGAAGGTTGACCCAAGCCTCTGGCGTAAGCGGCTTGAAGTGCATCTCTCCGAGAAGCGCCATGAGCAAGCTCGTCTTTCCAGACCCAGTGGGACCGACGATGAGGTTGACAGCACCGCGCTTGAACTCGAGTTTGTCGGGGACGCGCAGAGTGAAGGTCCGGCGAGAAGGTGTGAGTGATCCGTCGGTCGAAGTTGCGGACCAGGTGAAGGACGCGTCGTTGATGCCGATGGTCAGCTTGTCGTCGGGAGCACCAGTCGTCTCGGTTGGATCTTGCATAACGTCCTCGTGATTGAGCTGCTCCGTGTAGTGGTCCAATAGCTCGGTCTTCTGCAAGAACTCGGTGACACGGTCCAGCGAGACCTTGGCTACGAGATTATGAGCTTATGTATGATTGAGAAACATGATATCGCTGCGTACCTTGGATGAGAGGGGATATGAAGAAAAACGTCATCTGCAAGTTGTCGCGAAGTATATCAAAGACAGCGATGGACGAGAAGACGATCGAGGCGGTGAGGTCCTTCTTCATGACCAGTGTGTACACCGCATATGTCGCCACCATCTGGAACAAGGGAATGACGCTGGCGCAGAGGTAAGAACAGCTCGGAATCCTGAGGCCAAGGAGAACGCACTGGTTCAGAATGTCCGTCGCGAGCGTTGCAAGCTCGCGCGACTTGATCCACTTCAATTCCTCGTCTCGCTTGAGGGCAAGCCTATCCGCGATCTTCTGCTCCCAACCGAAGAGCTTGATCATGCGCAAAACGCCAAGCATCTCCGTCACTGTCTGCACACGCGCATCCGTCTTTTTCATCGCGGTCTCTTGGATAGACTGGATCAGCTTTGCCACCCAACCGGGAAGAGGCAAGCAGGCGATCATCACGGCTACACCGACGAAGGCGCTGCAACTAGGTAAGTACTTGACCCCGCGAAGGAGCCGGCTGTACTGACCTCCAGCCGAGAACCAGGTACAAGAAGTAGACCGATGCAGCGATAGAGACCGGAGTGAAGACGACTGGGCGATTGTCAGTACGGATGCCTATACGGAGCATAGGAATAAACGTACAAAGCAGAGCCAAATCGCGACCATCGACGATGTTGTCAAGATCCACTGCGACAAGGTTGTTGATCTTCCCTACCAGGTTGTCGCCCTTCTCCTCGTCCGCGGCTGCCGCCTTGGACTCCTTGTCACTAGAACCCGAGCTCTCGGCAACGGTAGTGCTGCTCGCCTCGCCGATGTGGCTCACGTCTTCGCCGACAACGGTATCAGCGTCACCGGCAAGTGATGCGGTGTCAGGCGTGGGAGCGGCGGAGGGCGCGGGGGTGGAGCCGGAGACCTCGGCCTTCATGCGGATCCGAAGAGAGTGCTCGAAGATGAGCTGGGTGATCATGCCCTCGATGCGCACAAGGGTCGCTGTCTACGGAGGTATGTTTAGCTAGGTTGTCAACACACGAAAGGAGAGAACGTACGGTGATCCAGGTGTACAGCTGCATGAGAATCGTAGAGACGGCAGGACCGAAGAACATGAGCGAGATCCACACCCATGGACGCACAGTGGCTCCTTCACCGCCAGTCTCGATGTAGCTATGGACGGTCAGCGTGTTACCAGGGCGCTTAAAGATGGGGACGTACGCAAGCAAACGGTTGATACCAACAGGAGCGAAAAAGACGGCGCCGGCACGCACAATCATGATGACCGTCAGCATTGTATATTCCCAAGCTTGCAAGGAGGTCGTCAGAAATCATCTTCAAGCACCGAAGTCAGGGAGAGAACATACAGAACACTCTTAACAGAGCCCAGAACATATGGCTTTTTGGCGCCCCCGAGAACGGGTCCAGATGCTTGAAGCTACGCTTTACCAGGTGAGCTGTGCGATCGTAGTCTGCGATAGCCGGTAACAGGTCGAAGCCGAGATGAGGTAGACGGTACGCCAAGAAGATGTGCTTGTCGAGGAAGGAGAAGGTGATGAGAGAGAGAATGGACGCGGTCTGCTCCGGGTTGGGTTCGGGAGAGGGGTTCTACAATGCCTCGGTTAGCATACATTGTGAAGAAGAGGCTGTTGAGGGTACCTCGGGATCCAGAGGGATGTATGCGCGAGGGACGGTCAAAGGAATGAGGACGCCGGCAAATGTGACCAGTGCGACTTTGATCCAAAGCAGAACGCCCTCCTGGCGGTCGGCAGGTAACAGAGTGTAGGTCATGAGCGGCCATAGGTCTCTGTAGGCATACACCGCGAATGATGCAAGTAGAATGAGTACCAGATGAGGTGATGCCGTGCGCGCCAACGGCGCTCGGACGGCGACGGTGAGGAGTGCCAGACCGGACGCGTAGAGCTGTGGAAAGTTATATCTCAGCTTGACGCCCGACGACCCATTCAACTATAGACATACATAGGTAACGCCCAGAAGCAGGTTCAAGAGTTCCTGGCGCCGCACCGCGTCGACGACATAGAGTGATAGGAGCGCGAAGGTTGTAACAGCGCGAGCGAGTTTGAACAGGTAGATGGTGATCCCTCCATGTTGGTGCACAAACCCGCGGACGCCGACTGTAGCCGTACGTTCTTCGTCACGTCGCGCCCTTCGGATGGCGGTGATGGCCGCAGTGACAAGAGAGACTACTGCCGACAGCGCCGCGACATATGCTGGCACGAGACGTGCATCCCGCCATAACCTGAATACGCGTTCAGAACACAACGCGTCTGTTCGAAAATGACTATACGCACGGCACCGGAGCATCGTAGTCAAATGTGAGCGCGGACGCGACCGAGCTCAACACAACCTGGTAGTCCATCGTACCCTACCCTGCACACGAGCAAGTGCGAGCACTGATAGGTGATTTGGAGGACGGAGACTCATCCGTTCAAGTTTATATCACAGTGCGCTTCGGTCCCGGAGCCACTTTCTTGATGGCCGCAGGTACCGGAGCCGGAACCTGCAAGAGTCAACTTGCGAACCATGCGGTTCGAGGAGATTAGGCCCAGGTCCCATCATAGTCAATGTCGTTCACGGTGATGCTTGTGGGCCGAAGTGGACACATGAGGAACAACGCCGAAGAGCATGTTGCTATCTATGGGGCGAATTTCTGAATACAATGCTACATGCTATAGCTACTTTGAGTGTGCACAGGACAGAGAGACCACTGGCCAGGCGGCCGACAAGCGTCATCGGCGCGATGGATGGCGCTTCGCCTCGGAGAGTACTCCCCGACAGTATAGTTATGCTTGACTCGACATATACCGTGTCATGCATGTATTCAGACTACTCAGAGCCATGGGAAGTACATTCTAGAAGTAGTACGTATGGTCTTCATGTAGTGCATCGCTGTCCCCTCATCTAGCAACCATCGCGTACAGAGCCTCTCTATCGCTACTCTCGTCAACAAGTGACTTGAAAAATCCGTCATTATTCTCAAGCAAACGCTGAGGATGGTCAAATTCAACGATGCGCCCAGCATCAAGAACCATCTGATGAACTCATGAGCGCTATGGGCAAGGAGACAGACTAATACAAGGACTCACGATCTTGTCCGCGTCCATGATGGTCTGTAGGCGATGGGCGACAGTGAGCAGCGTCACGTCGCCACCGAGCTCGTTGCGAAGGGAGGATTGAATGATCGCATCCGTCTCATAGTCAATCGAGGACGTTGCCTCATCCAGGATAAGGAGCTTGCTTCCCCGAACGAGCGCGCGTGCAAGCGCCAGGATCTGGCGCTGACCAACGCTCAGATTGCCACCACCGCTCGAGATCTGTGAGTCGAGTGTGATGCGATCCTTGTCCGTCTCGCTTTGCAGCGAGAATAGACCCGATGCGCGTAGAGCGGAGTTGAGCTCCGCATCATCGTGCTCCCCAAACGGATCCAGGTTCTCACGCAGTGTGCCACTCAGCAGCTCGGGAACTTGAGGGATGATCGTAATGCTCGTCCGAAGCACGTCGAGGTTGAGGTTCGCGGTATTGACGCCGTCATAGTACACGTCGCCTTCAGTGAATATGCACCGAAGCAGCGAAAGAGTTAAGGAGCTCTTCCCGCTCCCGGTACGACCGACGATGCCGACGCGCTCGCCAGACTTGACGCGGAACGACAGCTCATGAAGAGCCTTGGGCCCATCCGGGGAGTAGCGCGCAGAGAGATGCTCAACACGCAGGTCGCCACTCGTCGGCCATGCAGCCGCGGGAGTCAGCTCATGCACCGGTTTCGGCTCCTGCTCGATGATCATGTAGCCTTGCAGGCGTTCGAGGCTGTTTCCCTTGACCTCGAAGCTATTGTAGATCCGCACCCAGGATAGAATCATGCTACTGAAGCCAACTACAAATGCGACGTCAATCATCAATCGAAAGCATGATAAGAGTCGCACACACCTGCCATGGCCAAAGAGAAGCCGACGTTAGACGGAAGAGCTTGGCCGCTGCTTGGCCCGTAGATAAGGTATGTACCAAGAGCAGCTGAGAAGAGCCCTCCCAGGACGTCGATGCGAGTACTGACCCAGCGATTGAGGTTGTAGAATATGCGAGCGGCGCGTGTGTAATCGTCGATACGCTTGTACGACTCAAGCCGGAAAGCTTCCTGAGCACCGTACGCACGAATCGATGCTATGCATACTGTCAGAATCCATATCTTCCGCATGTGGACATGTGTACGTACTGATACCGGCGATGGCGGCACCGAAGTGGCCAAGTACAGGCGCGCGCTTATTGGACATCTCACGCTTAACGGAGAGCTGCGCGCGCATGTATACGTTGCCAAACCAGCGTCCGGCGATGAAGACAAGAGTACCGGGTACGATAAAGACAGGGGTAAAGATGACGATGGCCAGGAGCTTGATTATCATGGTCGCGGAGACTTGAACAAGGTGTTTGAACCCATTGGCAAAAGGTCCATCGACGGCATAGATATCTCTTGTTGCGCGCGTAACAATTCTGGACGTTGGTGTCGAATCTAACCATCTGAGAGTGGTTCCAAGGACAGCATCCATGAGTTGCGCATGGATCTGCCGCGCTGCGCGGATGACACCTGAGACGTACACCCACACTCCCGTGAAGAAGACGACGCAGGAGCCCAGGACCATCGCGCAGTAGGTGCAGATATAGCTATGAGAGGTCAGCGTCGCCATGACGGTCGGTGTACTATCAGGCTCACAAGATAGAGTCCACTTGAATGCCCGAAGCTACGTCTCTGTATGCATCAGCCCAGCGCCCCATCCACCAAGTCTGAGTATTGGCGAATACGTCGCTCATAACTATGCCACCGAGGAATGCAAGCCAAAAGAGCATGCCGTGCTTTCCGCTAAGCGCCGAGAAGAAGATGCTTACTGCAAGCCAATCAGTAAGAAGATCAGGACCACAGTGCGCCTGTTCACTCACGGGCTTTGTTAGATACATGACCTTCCACGATCTCCTCCTCAACGACTAGTTTGCCATCATACTTCGTGACTGTGGCGCGTGCATCCTTATCATCGCCGTCGTCGACCTCCTCGTCTACCTTCTCAAGCGCCCGTGCATCTTGCTTCGCCTCCTCTGATAGTGACTTGTCTTTTGCAAGCACTTCAGCGTAAGGCCAGCGAGTAGCGATGGTCCCGTCTGTCTGTAAGGCGACGACATATTCCGAGATAGGACCAGCAAGTGCAACGTTATGTGTCTGCAACTAGCGTCAGCCTCGAAGCCCGATACAGATGGCGATCAATCGCTCACAACAAGAATCACGGTGCGACCGCGTACAAGATCGCCCTTGAGACACTTATCGACTATCCATTTGGCAGTATGCACATCAAGCGCAGCGAGCACGTCGTCCAAGAGAACCGTCTCTGCAGGGGAGTAGATGGCACGAGCGAGGGTGATGCGCGCCTTCTGTCCTCCACTCAGCGTGAGACCTTTCTCGCCTACTTCGGTCCGATCGCCGGCGTCGAAGAGCGACAGGTCGCGCTTGAGAGCGCACTGATAGATCACTGAAGGTACGGATATTCAGCAAATGCTCGAGGCTATACGTTGCGGAATGACATACCCTGCTTGTAACGATCCTCATCGTATGGCGCCCCGAACAAGATATTGTCCCTGATAGTCTCGTTCTGCACCCAGCTCTCCTGCGCTGCGTAAGCGACACCCCTTTCTCGTGGTAGATTAACCCATGCCCCGGGTACAAGTGTTTCGAAGTGCATCTCCCCCAGTAAAGCCATAAGCAGACTCGTCTTTCCAGAACCAGTAGGGCCGACGATAAGATTGATGGCGCCGCGTTTGAACTCGAGTCTGCCGGGGATGCAGAGTGTGAACGTGCGTTGAGAGGGTACTCTTGTAGCCTCGGACTTCGATGCCGACCAAGTGAATGATGCATCGTTCGCGCCGAGGACATGAGGGTCTTCCGGCGCGCCTCTCATCATGGTCTCATTCAGGGCGACACCGTCCGCTTGTGCAGCGTAGAGATCCAACAACTCCGTCTTCTGCAGGAACTCGGTGACTCGATCAAGTGATACCTTCGCTATGGCCAACATCAGCATCTGATATGGATGGCGAGCAGCTCCGATAGCTACATACCTTGAATCATAGGAGAGACGTATTGAAAGAATGTCTCCACACCCTCGCGGAGAAGCTCGAAAACAGAGATAGATGAGAAAACAATCGACGCCGTGAGCTGTTTCTTCATGACGAGGGTGTACACGGCGTACGTCGCCACCATCTGAAATAGCGGGATGATGCTGAGATCGAACGGATCAGCAAAGTAGGATGCAAAGAAGAATCAATAGGAGACTGACTGGTTGAAGATGTCCATAGCCAACGTCGCAAGCTCGCGAGCTTTGATCCACCTCAGCTCCTCGTCCCGCTTCACCGCGAGCCTATCCGCTATCTTCTGCTCCCATCCGAAGAGTTTTATCATGCGAAGCACGCCGAGCATCTCCGTCACCGTTTGCACTCGCGCATCCGTCTTCTTCATTGCGGTCTCTTGTATGTCTTGTATCAGCTTGGCCACCCATCCCGGGAGCGGCAGGCAAGCGATCATCACAGCAACACCGACGAAGGCACTGAGGCACGGTTCAGTATATGACGCTCACGAGTAAAACTAGATCGAGAGTGTGGCATACCTCCATCCGAGAACAAGGTATAGAAAGTACACCCCTGCGACGATGATGACCGGTGTGTAGACACCTCAATATTCAGGTCGTTGGTCAGGAAACTCGAGGGTGGCAGCGGGTTGTGCACGCACAGAGGTGAGCCAGATCGCGACCTTCTCTGATGTTCTCCAGATCCACTGCAACCTGGGGGTACGCATGAGCGGTGGACACGTAGTAAATGGCATTAAATGGCATGAAACGTACGAGATTGTTGATCTTTCCCACGAGGTTCTCACCCTGATCCTGGTTTGTCTGCGCAGTCCTCGGGTCTTGGGCGCCACTGTTCGTGTCTCCTGCAGCGGTAGGTGAGCCGATTCCATCGGTCTCATTCCCCGTCTCTTCTTCGGAGAGACGTGTGGATGTTGAAGACACCTCAGCCTTCATGCGAAGGCGCAAGGCATGCTCAAATATGAGCTGCGTGAACATAGCCTCCAACCGCACGACAGCGGCCGTCTGCATTATCCATTATATCAGCCACTGACCAACAACACCAACGAATTCACGCACGGTGATCCAGATATAGAGCTGCATGAACGTCGTTGAAACGGCCGGACCAAGGAACATCAATGAGATCCACACCCACGGGCGCACGGTCGCTTCTTCTCCGCCGGACTCGATGTATCTGCGTCGGAAATGAGTAAATGGAGTACAGTATATCACGAGGAGACGTACGCGAGGAGGCGGTTAATACCGACAGGCGCAAAAAATGACGCCAAGGCGCATAGGACCATGAGAACGGAAGTACCCACAAACTCACTACCTTAGAAGAGCTCAGCAAACCGCCCACATCTACTCATGCCACCAAAAAGATACACGCACGGAAGACCCGCATGAGCGCCCAGAGCATATGCACTCTCGGCGCTCCGGAGAAGGTATCGAGGTGTTCGAAGCTGCGGTCCACGAGATGCGCCGTACGGTCGTAGTCCGCGAGGGGCGGGAGGAGGTCGAAGCTGAGGTGGGGTAGGCGGTAGGCCAGGAAGATGTGTTTGTCGAGGAAGGAGTATGTGAGGAGTGAGAGAAGCGAGGCGGTTTGTTCTGGGTTTGGCTCGGGAGAGGGCTTCTGTGATAGGCCATGTGAGCATGGTGCTCTGCAAAGACTATCATGACGAAGACGTACATTAGGATCCAGAGGAATGTAGGTGCGGGGAATGAGGAGAGGAACGAGTACACCGGCGTAGGTAAGCAGAGCGAGCTTGACCCAGAGCAGCGCACCCTCTTTCCCGTCGACAGGAACAAGGGTATAGGTCATGAGCGGCCAGATATCCCTGTACGCATATACTGCGAAGGATACCAGCAGTATAGTGCCAAGGTGGGTGGACGCGGTGCGCGCCAAAGATGCTCTGGCAACGACACTGAGAAGAGCGAGTACCGAGGCGTAAACCTGCGTGGCTTTTCAGTATGCTATTGATGAGAAAGACCCGGATCGGTGACATACGTATGCCGAGCAGACGATCAGGTCAAGAATGCCGCTGTACCGCACTACATCAAGGATGTAGAGGGCGAGAAGCGTCAACGTAGACACGACCCGAGCGATGTTGAAGAGATAGGCGGTGGTGTCGCCCTGTCCAACAGTTGATAAACGCTCCTCGTCAGGTGAGCCTTTTTTGCTTTGACTGTTGACCACTGCCACGAATAGAGCCGTTGCGGCAGATATGACGGCGACATACGCCGGTGCAAGACGGGCATCTCGCCACAGCCTGGAGACACGTTGAGTAGGTATCCATCTCCTAAGATGAACTCTATACGTACAGAGCAGATTCACCGGAGTCGAGCGACGATATTTTGCCGAACAAGTTGAGCACGGTCTGTTCTTCCATCGTAGAGTATAACGAAGATAGACCTGCGAAATGAGAGTGGCCCGGTGAGTGACTCAGGGTCAGGTCTACTATATATACAGCTTAAGCACACTGTTGGCGACCGATGCGTCCTCACTCGCTCGGGACCGAATGTGACTATGTCGACTGCGCTTATGGACTCTGTAGTGGCTGCACGCGGCACTGATGTATGGGGCCTTCATACAAACAAACTGCGACAGACGCGCGAAGAGATCCACGGACCCTAATTGTCAGGCAGAAGGTAGCATCAGGCATGCAGGAGTTATCATAGTAGGCGAATGATATGCAGAGAGCTTTGCGCTTGCTGGGGCAAGTGAACGATCATGATGGCAAGAAGCAAGCGCTAGCGCCCGCGCGGCGATCAAGCTCTACTAACGCCTATCCCCGACAAAATTCCCGTCTGCAACAAGCGCGCAACGCGTTTCTGCTCCTACCACTACCTCCACATCCATACGCTATGGACGTTTCGGACATTCTCGCGGCACAAGCTGAGAGGCAGTGCGTTCAAAGTACTAGATGTACTCTAGCTGGTTACTGATATTGAACTTCAGAAAAGCCATCACTGTCGAGAAAGAAATTCCTCTTGAGGTCGATGTTGGCTACTTGACTGTGACCGACTTGAATCCCATCGATAAGGAAAGCTACACGTGCGTGATATCTTCATGTACTTTATACCCGCTGCATCTAATATTCGTACAGCGAGAACCTGGAGGAATGTTTGCAATCTACCGCCCGGGACGGCATTCAAGTCCTCCTCGCCTCTCTCTTCTCCCTCCCCACAACATCCTCCGAAGACGGACCTCTCGCCGTACTCCCACCACCAACAACCCTTCTGCCGCGCTCTAAGCCGCTTCCTAAACCCAAACCGCCAACAAAATGGGAGAAATTCGCACGCGCGAAGGGTATCCAGAAGACTGTCAAAGACAAGAAGGTGTGGGACGAGGAAAAGCAGGAGTGGGTTAATAGGTGGGGATGGAAGGGCAAAAATAAGGAGGCGGAGACGCAGTGGGCTACGCCTGTATCCGCCAATGCGGACGTCGACTTCGATCCGGCGAAAAAGGCGAGGGATGAGAGGAAGGCTCGTGTCGCAAAGAACGAGAAGCAGCATTCTGCCAATCTTGCGAGAGCGCAGGGGACGGCTGGGTCTGGAGCTGCTCCAGCGCCGGATCGGGAGGCGAGGAAGAGCGATATTTCCAGGACACTCGCTACGACGAGGTTTAGTACGGCGAGCATGGGCAAATTTGATAAGAAGCTTGATGGTGACAAGCCGTTGCGTGGCGTCAAGCGGAAGGTATGACTTTTTCCTATCTCCTTCCTTCCAAGACGGCTTGACTGATTGGTTGTAGTTCGACCCAGCAGAAGCGTCCGCAGAGGCAGAAAAGAAGAGCAATCTCGCGCTTCTCGCAAAACTCGGCAATGCGCCGACAAAACGAGCGAAGGGAGAGGGCAACGACGCCGCTATCAATGTCAGGAAAGCGGTACGATTTGCGTCGAAGGGACAGGGAGGTGTGGCGATGGCGAGGAAGTCTGAGGGCAGGGGTAAGGCGCCGGCGAAGAGGGGCGGCAAGCGATGAGCGAGTATGATTGCTGTACATCCTGTACTTGCTCCGTTCAACTGCTGTAGCCTGTACCGATGTATCGGTGCTTCTTCTTTCGTTGGCTGTAGCTGTCTCTCATATTATCTCACTTACGGGTACGACTCGTGTTGCGTGAGATTGCATCGTTGTGTACCGGTTGGACATGGCCAAAATGTTTCAGGCGGTTGTCAGATGGCTAGAAGAAGCCCCTTGCGGTGTACTATTTACTACGGTACATACATCGTCGTCTCTCTCCAGCTATACGCACTTTACTCCGTGCCGGCGGCAAGTCATGTTTTCCCATCAGTGCCACACGTGGAAGTCGGGCCGCAGTTGGAAACATGATCAAGTCATCACCGGTGCCGCTAACAGGGACTCACGCTCCTTGCCTCAAACCATCACGACCCTCTCCAGCATAACCTCGTCTCTTTGACTAGAAGACGTTTTTATTTGCGAGACTCGACTGTTCGTATACTAAGCATATCGATATTGCAATTTCTTGGTCCCTAACGGCCAATCTAGAGCCCAGTCAAGCACACGAGCGCCTCTGAGCTCCCCGAAACTCCATGTCCACCCAACCTTTCCCCCTCGCGGCGCCAAGGGCCCCCGAGCAACCTCACTATGGTCCCGACCTTGCGGTCCGGCTCATCTGCCCAGACTGCCGGGACCCCAACCCAAATATCGTGGAAGAATTCGGTAGCGGAGATCTCGTGTGCGGGACTTGTGGTTTAGTCCTGGGCGACCGTGTCGTCGACACGCGTAGCGAATGGCGTGTAAGTAAATTTCCCTCGAAATATACCGTTTTTGGACCGTCGCTCGAGCTGGCGGTCCTGCCTTTTCTAATAGACGTTCGCCAATGACGAAGGAGATGATCCGTCTCGTGTCGGTGCGGCGTCGGACCCGCTCCTCGACGGCATGGAACAGCTCGACACAGTCATCTCTTTCAAAGATGGTGGCTCTGGTATTGCACGCGAGCTCCAGCGCGCCGCCTCGCGCGGCCAGAGCTCGCGCTCCGAACGCAACATCATCTCCGCCTTCCGCGATATCTCGACCATGTGCGACCAATTCTCCCTACCCAAGACCATCTCCGACATCGCGAAACAAATGTACAAGCGCGCGGACGACGAGAAGTTGCTTCGTGGAAAACCGCTCGAGGCGGTTATCGCTGCTTGCATATTTATCGCATGCCGCCAGGCGCATGTACCGCGCACGTTCCGCGAAATTTGCCAGTTGACGCACGTATCGAAGAAGGTGCTCGGACAGTGCTACAAGGCGCTCGAGGCAACGTTCAGCTTGCAACCTGGCGCGTCCGCTCAAGCGCAGAACGGACGACCTGGAGCGGCAAGGCAATCTGGACCGGAGGATTTGCTCGTGCGGTACTGCAGCCACCTGGCTCTCCCGCCCTATGTGGAAGGGTACTGCCGCGACGTCATTGTTGCCGCACGCGAACACGGCGTTGCGGACGGTCGTTCACCCGTCTCGATCGCCGGCGGCGCAATATTCTTCACCTGCCAACTCCTCGGCGTGAACAAGTCGATGCGTGACATCATGGATATCGCCGGAGTGTCGGAGGGCACGATTCGCCTGGTATATAAGTTATACTTTGCGGACAGGGAGAAGCTGGTCAAGAAGGAGTGGTTGGAGAACGGCAGGGCGAAGATGGAGAGGTTGCAGCTTGAGCCTGGGGCGGGACGGTGATGCGCCCCGGGTCATGGACGTCACGGACGCTTCTTGGTCGTACTTATATGTGGCGAATGCCATCATCGTTATTGTCTATCGGGTGTAACTTGTACCTCGTACCATTCTTGATAATGCCATACCTGTTTGGCTGTATATTTGATATGCACCTGGGAGTGCGAGAACTTGTCCTGCACCGCGGGAGAGGAACGTCAAGGCAATTCCGCACTAGTACCCGCGCCGCCACTCGTCTTCGAAGTTTGCACACTAGTGCGCATCCTCTCACGGAACAGTGCCGCCTATTGACAATTCTTCCTGGTTCAGCGATGCCATTGGTCTTACTACAACATCTCTCCCATCCCGCCCAAGAAGTCCGAAATATATTGTATAATATAACAGCGCAAATAGTAAGGAGTGTGTGTAGTGCATGTAGCAGCAGAGCGAGAAACAGCAGGGTACAAGGTACAGTTTGGTTTGGGTTCGACCGCGTAAGGATGAAGACAGCAGAGATATGGGCTACAGTATGGGATGACCTCGCCAGGAAGCGCCCACGAAGCGGATAAATATGAATAAGTATGGACGTGAATGAAGGGAAGGGAGAGAGCGTGGGTCAGAGCAGGTGATAGCACAGAACAGAGCATGGTACATAGAAGCAGCCTCCGGAAGGAACAAGGGTTATGCGTCTGGTATGGCCGGTACACCGACGAGCGACCGTTTAGCCGTGACGAGCCAGTGGGAGACATCATTCCCGATCTTTCTGAGCAAAGGCTCGCCGTTTCGGTGGATCAGCCGTGCGCGAAGCTTGGACTCTGATAGCGAGTCGCGGACGTTGAGGAAGCGGCGGAATAGTGTGCGCGCGGTGGGTCGATCAGAGGGGTTGACTTGCATCATGTCTGCGAGCACAGGATACAAGAACTCGAAGCCGTCGTATTGCTGCATCACACCGAAGCGTCAGCGCGCGTGCTGATGAAAAGATGGACGAGGGACTGGCAGCTTACATTGAAGAAGACCTTGCGGATGGTATTCCCCAGCTCGTAGATATCGGCAGCACGCAACTCTTGCACCTCGGCAGTGTCCGCCTTCGCAAGCGTAGACTTTGCGTGGCCAAAGTCGACGAAGTAGTACCGGACCGGTCGGCTAGTGCGCGATCGCGGTTTGGACGGACCAGCCCAATCTCTACGTAGTGTGGGGAAGGACGGGTCGTACGGATGCTCGTAGAGGGGTGAAGCGTCCATCATGATATGCCGCGATATGCATTCACTACGAACAGTATCAGAATGTGCAGGCCCGTCACCAGCTTGACGGGTACGCACCCGTGAGTGATGTTGACAGTATCGTGCAAGAACTCCAATCCCTGTATGATGAAACCGTTCAGCGCGATGCTTGGATGGCACGGGTGGGGCGCATACACGCACCTCGAATATTTGGCTCAGGAACGCCACGACCTCCCCAAAGGTCTTGAACGACGGTTCGTCGAAGGACTTGAGGAGCGGCATGACCAATATCACATCCTTCTCCTCTCCATCTACCGGTAGAATGTCCAAGATCGGCGTACAGTGGTTACGCAACGACTTTCCGTTGAGCGCCTGGAAGTAATGTGCCAGATCAACTTCGCCCGATGCGCGATCCAAGCACACGCGCTTGAGTGCGACGTGCATCCCATCCGACGCGCGAGTCGCGTCTATGACCACTCCGCGCTACAACATCAAGTCAGCACATGCGCAGTGAGCCAAGGCGCGAGAGAGACGCACCTGCAGGTACCGCGGATCCAAATCCAGACTTGCCGCCGGGGTCCAGCTCGCGCGCAAAGAAGTGCGCAGCACATAACCCTTCGAAGCCAGCCACGTATGATGTTTCCTCCAGTACGCCGCGATTGTGTCTTGGCGCTCGGGCTCAAGCTCAAAAGATAGCATGGCCAAGGGCAGGGGGAGGAGGAAGCAAAAGGACGGAGGGGGAGACGAGCGCGTTTGACCGCCAAAGCTTAAACTCACTTTTATGAGAGTGCAACAACTTCTCCTTGACGACCGCGTGACGGAATACAGGGCCCGAGGGTGGGCGTACCCATCTGCTTGGCTGTCAGAAAAATCAACGATGGCCTGGATCTAGACGCGGTCGCTATGGTGGGACCGTCGGTGCCGGTACGTGATGATATGGCCGGAATGGCATGCGGAGCCGGTGATAGACACCTGGACGGAGTTCGACGTCCAATGGTAACCAGGACTTGTAATGTTTCGAGACATAAGATTCTGGGGACTGTAGTATGTCAAAGATACAGACGTTTCGGAGGTTAACGCATGGTGTTCAGAACAGGGAGCGAAGCCAGAAGAGGAGGGAATATCACCGGATGCGAACAAAGGGTCGAACAGAAGGAATACTTCTGCTGGTGGCGCCCGCTGCGCAAGAAGAGAACTATGGGCTCAATTGCTGTCGATATCCGCGGTGAGGATCACTTATGTCCGTGAGAGGACTTGGGCACAATTCATATCGAGGAGATGGTCGCCGAAAGCTACTCGGACGTCCTAGCCAGCTCGGACGACGATCGGCGCGAGCTTGTGGAAATGATGGCGGCGCGATCACATGAGTAGCGCGCATTCAGCAGATCCGCGCTATGCAAGGTACAGTCTCGGTCAGGTCCAACTTCAGAACGAAGGGTCTTCGAGACCAAGAGATAAGATTCAACAGCATCAAAGGAGAGCAGTAGTAGTAAGCAAAGTGAGAAGCAAGAGGCTCATCAAGAACGTACCGTAAGGAAGTATGTAGCAGTAGCGAAATGCGACAGCGTGAAGGGGGTGCGAGTAGCGAGGTACAGTATGCGGTAGCGGTCTGGAGCCTAGCTCCCAGGTGCGACGTGCAAAGATGATAGGAGGGAGAGCATAGGGGGGCATAAGGACTATATCACGTTAGCGTCGAGCTGAACTTGGAGACGAGAGCAAATGAGAGATGGTACGTAGGGGAGATACAGACTAACATTCAGCGAGGGTAATGACGTGGATGCGAGAGCGTAGAGGTAATGAGACGTGAGAGTTCAAGAGCAAGCAAAGTTCGTGAGGAGTGTCGACACTGCGTGGGGGAAGCGAAGTCAAAGCATAGACACGAAAGTCCAAAATAAACGAGAAAACGAAGTCCGAAACTAAGCATAGAGTTCACGTTCACCGGTAGTTCACTCCACTCGGAGGGCGCACGAGCACCTCAGGCGGTGACTCGCGTGCGCGAAGAGCAGCGCGCTCGCGGGTGGTGTCCGACCTGTTCATCGAGCCGAGACCCAACTTCAGTCCACGGAGGCCCTTAGAGCCTTTCTTCGTGAGCGTGCCATCCTCAGACACACCAACGGCGTTCTCCTTGTCGATCGACGCCGCACCAAGTGACTTCTTCCCTTTGCTGCTCCCGTTCTTTTGACCGAGCGCGAACTCGCGCGCGGATGACAGGGCGTTTGTGGGGCGGAGCGAGAGCGGGCGCAGCCCTGCACGAGCCGGCTCTGCACTAGGCAGAGCGGCGTACTGGCTCTCAAGCTCAACACCTCCAATAGCCGGCGTCCTGTCACGGTCGGCCCTGATCTTCAACGGTTTCATGCCCCAGCCACGACGTTGCGCTGCGGGCGCACCGGTGGCGTCGTCCGAGCGGATGTACGTGATGCTGCTACGCCCGGCAGAGCGGCGGCGGTAGTCCGGAGGGGTGCTCTCTGCGAGTGGCGCAATGCCTTCAAGATCGAAAAGAGTCACCTCGGATGTGGCGCTCGGTGGCGGAGCAGTCGCGCTCAGCGCGAGCGTAGAACCGGAAGCTGAAACGGGGATAGCGGGGACGGGCGCAAGCGCCTCGAGAAGTAACGCCAGGGAGTTGCGGTCGCCGGCCTCGGGGACGGCGGGAAGAGCGACGGCAGGCGGTGAAGTAGATGGCGCGCGCGAGATCGCGGGGCTGTATGCCGGAGAGGCGGGGATGACCGCGGTCGATGGTGCGATGGCGACGGTCTTGCGCTTGTCATCTCCGTGCAAGGCATCGTCAAGAGCGCCCTTGGTAGTAGCGGCCCAGGTGGCAAGAGCGTGAGCACCGTCCTTGCCCAGGGCGAGGCTATCACATCATGTCAGTAGAGTCCTTGTGGTTTCAAAGAGCACAACCATACCTTGGAAGAGAGAAGTGATGTTTCCTGCGTTCAGCAGCAGACTTATTCGTGGCCGCGGGCGCATTGCGTTGGTGAGGGGTGCTGTGGAAGCGCGGCTCGCTGATGTCGCTGATAGCGTACCCACCGAACTCGGGGGCCGCGCTGGCTTGAGAGTAACGGCTCTTGCTCGAACGCTTGCTGGCCTGGCTTGGACGACGCATAGGGCCCAACATAGAGTTCGGGCTCGGGATGGCGTCGCCTGGGGTGACACGCATGTCTGTGCCGACCGTCAAGCCGGGTACGAGGATGGGCAAGACCTTGGCAGACAGAGCATCGATCTCATTGGCATCGCCCCGAGCGACATAACCGAAATCGTAACCCGAAGAGTCGCCGGCACTTTGACCCACAGACATGGTGGATTGCGTCTTACGGTGTGCGAAGCGGTTCGGCGGGGTCGGGGGGAGCGGTGAGTTCGGGGCAGGCGAAGTCGGGAATTGCGGCGAGGACCACGATGTGGCCGAGCGGGTGCGAAGATGAGCGTTGCCGCGGTTCGGCGGCGTGGTCATGTCGATACCAGTCGCCATCGCGCCTTCAGTCGGTGTCGTCGGGTTCGAGTCCGGACGCCTCTCGGGCTCGGGCGAAGGAGGCATAACGACCGCCATGGCAAGCTGAGAGTAGTGGCGCTGAGCGGTCATGATGCGGGCCTGGAACGCGAGGCTTTCGTCCTCGCTCATACGCGCAGAGCTAGTAGTGGACTTGGTGCGCGCGCGGGAGCGACCGAACTCAACGCTCGAAACGGTCGTCGGAGTTCCAGGAGCGGTGGCAGGCGCATCTTGAATCGGAAGTGGGGGCGTGATGGGAGTGGGCGGCTCAACATCGTCACCATTGTCCTCGGGTGGCAGAACGGATAGCTTAGGCGCCGGAGCGAGCATGGTAAGCGCGCGGCCGACCTTCGATTTACCGTCGACAGCCTCGCCATTTGCAATCCAGACGTCGGTGGAGCGGCTCCCATCAACGACAGTCACACTGGCGCTACGCTTGTACTCGCCGCTGCGTTTGTATTCGCCGCTGCGCTTAAACTCGCCGCTACGCGTGGGGACATGGAGAGTCTCTGTGGGCGATGAGGGACGAGTGCTCGCAAGTGGGGAGACCGAAGGCTTGCGGGAGTCGAAGAGGCCGGTAGGGACAGGCAGACCGTGCTTGAGCAGGATGGAGGTCATGAGCAGGGGACCAGAGATCGTGATGCTGACGATGAGCAAGATGGAGGAAACCATGCTCGCGTTCGGGTGGTTGGCATTGAGCGTGAGGAAGTAAGGAATAGCAAGACCCTGTAAAAAGGGTCAATCACTGAAGGTGAGATACTAATTTTGGACAGCTTACGAATGGAGCCCAGATCATGGCAAGCCAGGTCGCGATGCGCAGGAAAGAAACGTCGATGCCGTGCGAAGACTCCGTTGCGAGTGAGCTGATGCCCTTCTCGGCGTCGTGGCTGGCACTAGGTTGGTAGCCGTATCCGCCAAGAACCTGTGCGCTGGCGAGAGCAGGGGTGACCGGACGCGAAGAGCCGCGAAGAAGGTGCGAGTTGAGATCTTGGGTTGATGCAACGGCGGCCTCAAGCTCGGGATTGGGCGAGCCGGGGAGCGACGAAGCGAAAGACCAGGCAGTAGGAGTACGACGGGTACCATCAGTGCTGGTCAACCACGACGTCTGGCTGCCATTGCGAAGGCGCTGGGCATGTGCTTGAGCGACGGGGGACTCAGCGCGACGGAAAGGATCCGGGTGCTCGTCTCCGAGACGGGCACGGTAGGGAGACGGAAGCGCCGGTACGGGCGGAACGGACTCGACGGGTGCACCGGTGCCAGGCGTCGCCGGGTTGAACCAGAACGAGTTCTTGGCCGGGATGGAGGGGTTAGACGCAATGGCCGGGTGCTGAACGTGCGTGTTGTGCGTCGAGAAGGAGAAGGCTGAGATCGAGTCGCGGTCAGAGCCGGCAGCGGAGGTGATCCAAGAGGACCCATCACGGAGCCTGTCAACGTCCTCTGTGGCGAACGACGGGCGGGGCTTCTCCTCAACCTCACGGGCGGGAGGCCACGAGCTATCATCCTCGATGGTTGCGAGGTTGCGCTTGATGACAACGAGCGTGCGAACGAGGTAGCCAAAGCTAATGGTGCTGCCAACGGCAAGGATTGCGGTGTAGCCGAGGGCACCCCAGAAGAATGTGTGCACGCCGGCGCCGGAAATGACGGCGGCAATGCCGGTGGACGCAACGGCAAGGACGACAAGCGGCGCCCAAAGCATCCAGTAGCGGGCACCAAAGTTAACGGGTTGTCCGAGGCGAACATGAACCAGTGTGAGCGCAGAGACTACGACGAGGCAGGTCTGGCGGAGGGTGAACGCAATCCAAAGGCGAATGGACGAGCCAACGTCAGACGCGGACTGGAAGCCACTGGCTGAGCCGTTGTACTGCATAACGGCCTCGACGACAATAAGCACGAGGGCAACGACATCGCATAACGCGAGCCAGACATGGCTCTTGTCTGCGGCCGAAAGAGAGCGGTAGTTGGGCAGGCCGAACTCGGACTGCCAGCATACGTCAGAAATCGCGCATGTGGTTTGGGATATAAAGTTACTCACTGGGCGCACGCGACGGCTGAGGGGGTGTGGGGGAAGTATAGGAAGGAGAATGCGAAGAACTACAAAGACAGAGGAAATGAAGGAGACTAGGGCGAGCACGAGTGTCGGTACGAGGGGAAACATGGTGGTTGCTTGTTCTTGAGGGAGCGTGTTTGCGTGTGGGCGTCGATGGGCGTAAGGCCTGTTCTTGACAACTTCGAGCTGAGCGAGTCGAAGTTGAGAGGCTTGAGGGAAGAAAACGAGAGCGTTCGTGATCACGGAGAAAGACGAACCACCACCAGCGCCTTTTGAGCGTAACTCGAACTTCGAACAAATAGAGCGGCGCCCACAAAACCAAACAACTGAGCTACGTGCCCAACAACCATCAATTTGCCACGCCGAACCCACGCTGACAACGATCGTCGGGCGAGGAAAGCTGTAGCCCGTCCACCATTACTTTACCTGGGAGCATAGACCTTAGACTCACGCAGGGTTCAAGGAGGGGATAAGCGGCATGTATATCAAAGGTGAAGGTGGTGGCGGTAGGGGGAGAACTGTCGATCTGGTGCAGATTCTAGCCGTTGCCGACGACGGGCCGGAGCCCGAACCCCAATTTAGGGCGAAGGGCTTAAGACACGCTCAGTCGCGCTGCTCGAAACGCGCATGCAAGAAACCACCCCGTAGGCTTTTCTATACAAGGGTTCCAAGCTGAGAAGGCGTTATGGGTGATGCTAGACAGAGAGCAGCATCACACGTATTTCTTCTAACATTTGATTGCAAGACATGATCGACCACCCATACCCGTCAAATAAGCACGGTGGTGATACTTATTTCGGGAGACTAGCCCCATACAATGCAACAACGCGGGTGTACATCACTTTGTGCCACATGTTACAGTAAAGACTTGGAATAGCTGGTACGTGATTCAAGCGCTAGAGTTTGGCAGGCGCCGTCGCGAGAAGCCCTTGCTCCTCCAACCATCCCTGCACTTTTGTCGTCACCTCATCCCGAGCCTGTAACATCACCCAGTGACCGATTCCTTCCAGCGTCACCTCAGTTAGCTTAGGAATGTGTTTGCGCATTCCCGCGTGCCTATTCGGCGTAGCAGTGAGATCGGCGCTCCCGTACATGAAGAGCACCGGGAGGTCTTCTGGCAAGGTGCCGCGCTTGTACAGTTCAGCGGCTGCGCGGACAAAGTCAGTAGGCTATATGATGACGCTACGACCCACACATACCCGCTTCCTCGTCATACCGATACTTCGTCGTCCGGTAGTAGTTCAACGGTCCATTCATGTCGACCATCTGCGCTCGTGTATACGCGATCTCGGTATCGGAGACAAATGGCTCTTTTGCTGGCTTGCCTTCGATTTTCCCGAGAACGATATCGCGCATGTTGTTGCCTAGCATCGGGTGTGCGCTTGGCTTCCAGCGACTGTACATTGCGTCAAAGAACTTTGCATGCTGTGCAACCGCGTTGAGCAGTATTCAACATGAGCGTCAGTGACCGGCGTATGATGCGCTTACATCAGCTTCGATCTCCTTGGTAGAGGACGGGTCGGCGAAATACGCCTGGTACGAGAACACCGGCTCAATCTTGACAATCTGTTCAAGAGGAATATATGCATTCCGCGGCGGCGGATAAGGAACGGACAATCTGTCTCGTCCATCAGTTACGAACCATAGGCCTAGTTTGACTTTGGCTTACAGTATCAGTGCCTTTAGTCGATCCGGGGCCCACAGCGCAAACCGGCTAGAGATCAGTGCTCCCCAGTCGTGCCCTATGACGATAGCCTGCGGTACTTCCAGGAGATCAAGTAGAGCGGTTAAGTCCGCTACAAGCTTCTTCGAGCTGTACTCGCTCGCATCGGCCGGCTTATCCGTCCCGCCGTAACCAAGCATGTCCGGTACAATCACACGGGCAACCTTCGCCCAGTGAGGGATCTGGTAGCGGTAGCCGTACCAGCTGTCGGGGAAGCCATGAACACAGAGGAAAGTTGGTGCAGATGGAGATGGCGAGCCTGTGTCGACGAAGTGGTAGGTCCTGCCTGTGGACAGAAGCGCTGAGCGCTGAGGATAGGACGATGGGTCAAGCGGGTTCATGGTCATGGTGGTGTTGGAAGAAGCTGCGAGGGTCTCTCATCGGCTCACCCCTCGGGTTTCGTATAACCGGAAGTCCGTATAGCACATGCGATCGTGTGGTAATAAGTGCCACATCTCGCGCGCGCTCTGGCGGATGTCAAATACTACCTATGTATTGCATATGCTCTTGGATCGCTCGCCTACCATGAGGTATGTCGCGCTCCAGGAACTTATACAATGTCCGTAGGTTCGGCTCCTCCAAGAGAGAGATGGTCAACGCAGAGGCCGCCGCATGGCTCAGCGGTTGAACGGACGCGTCCGGCCATTGAGGATATGGCCGACCGCATGACTATGCGAACGCGAGTCTGGGTCATGTTGCACACCGGCTTGACAGCCGACATCGAATCGAGGTAGGGGACATAGTTGGGCATGCCAAGCGCAGTGGCGGGTCGCATCGAAGTCGAGTCGCGTCAACGGCAAAGCACATCGTGATCAGAGCTGGTCCGTGCGCGCCCGCCACGCACGACTTCGGCGCGTCTCGCGTCCAGAATTCCTCATACTTACCTTGATGGCACAGTGCCCTTCACGTCTGTGTGCTGTGGGCCGCGGGGGCCTCCCATAGCACGGCGACCCTGTCCTCAGGGGGAACCCGCGGTTTGTATGGGCTTCGGCTCATGCACCGTCTCAATATTTTCCTGTCCCGCTCCGGCCCTCGGGCTGGGCGGGCCATTTTTTCGGTCGGCGCACTGTGCTAACCCTAACCCTAAACGGCATCAATCACGTCATAACCTGCTCTTCAGTATTCCGAGAAGCTCAGAGATGTTGGCACTTGTCCCGAACCTCCATGTACATACATACATCATATCTTCGAATTCAATATGCTTTGGTCCTTCCAGTATCTGCCTCCGGCGTGTGTGACTGCCTGCTATAGATAACGCACAAAGGCCGAGGGCCAACTTGGCGACCGCCGATCGTCTCGTGCTCCACCCCGTCCCTGCACCTCGACCGTCACCATGTCTCTCGAAAAGGCCAATGCTGGCCCAGTCATGCATCTCCTTGTCATCCTTTACGGCTCGAGGAAGCGCGAAGAAGTGAGCTTGGATCGCTATGGAGAGGAGCAAAGGAGGGTCGAAATTGACCTCCGTCCACGTCTACCGCGACGGGGTATGACGCCTCTCGAAATCAGCCAGTGGGCACACCACTTCGTCGGCGTGAACTATCAGAGCTTTAAACACTCGCAGAAATGGCATTGCGAGTACTGCGGTGCGTAGCGAACTGCTATTGGTCCTTTAAGACCCGCCCTAACGCCTACTACAGATAAACCTGCACGCATGTCCGAAAGCCAGTTGATGTCCTGGACTCACCTTGATCCACCTCGCATGAACATATACGTACGTAGTCATTGAAATGCCGGTCAAATTCAATCCTGACGCCGCATCCTTAGATGCACTTCGTGTGCAATCCCTCCGTCGGGCCGTGTGCGGAGATCCTACGTCAGGCAATCGTCGAAGCGGCGAGGCTGAGCGGTCAGCCACCTCCACCTCGGCGTATTGAGCGGGAGAATCCTTTGGACTGGCCTACTATGGGTGCCTGCGCGGGTTGCGAGAAGGACGAGACGGCGACACACAAGACGAAGGTATGCGCGGGCTGCCAGTTGACGCGGTACTGCAGGTATGGGCATAGTATGTCTAAGCTGATATGAATGCTGATTGTGGTATGCAGCGCGGCGTGTCAAAAGAACCACTGGCGCGAGCATAAAGCGGTCTGCAAGATGGAAAAGACGGTGAAATGGGTGTGGGATTGAAATAGACGTCTTGAAAGACAACATCGGATATTGCGCAAGAAGACTCTTTATTGCTGTATCTGCACCTCGCTTTGTAGCCCGTTGATATCATATACATCTTCAACGCCACGTCCACTGTATACCCCTAATGGCAGTACAGAACCGTGCATGGTCCTGCTCTGACGCACGAAGATGTCTTTCGCTGTGAACATGATGAGCACCCCACCTTCCTATTTTTCTCCATTCTGTACTAACCTACAATACCTGTGATGCTCAAATGAGCACCTCATTCTGATCATGGTGACAAGCACTGACCTTGCGACCTTGCATCGAGGGCATACAACCATGTTCTCGCCGAATGCATGCTCGTCTGCGCACGCGGCACACGTTCCAAAGCGCGGATATTTTTGCGGTTCTACTGCCTTACGCGGGTGATAGATCATCGACCGGTCGACGCTATCGTGCATGTCATGCGAGTATTCAATGTACTTCCGACTACATGGCCCGTGTCGGACGTCGCACAGAGCATGTATCCAGTAGAAGATGAGCGGTATCGGCTCAAAGGTCGGGACTGAATGCGTCGCGATGGTGCGAGCAGGTTCATCTGAGAGACGAGAAACATCGCGTCAAATCCCGTTCAGAAAGCTACTAGCTAGCACAGTTTTGAGCTTACGACAAAAGAGGCAAAGCCATCGTTGTGACGACTTAAGATCGTTCGTCATATCTTCGACGTACTTATCTGCCCACTCTTCCAGCTCGAGATCAGACATGTGTGCGTGGGGTTTCGGCATCTTCATGTTGATCTCGAGGCGACGTCGATCTTGACCTAGTCTATCGTGGTCGTCCATATCAAGCGGATCGTTTGGCCCGGTGCCGTATAGAGTAGCGGTGATGTACAACGTCTTGTTCTCGGCATCCCACGGTTCCTGAAACGGATCAAGGGGTTCCAGGTCGGAGAGGTCGACAACCGGCATAGTACCAAGCGTGGTGGTGGTAGTGGTTTGAGATGAGTCGCTTGACGCGTCAGGATTCGACACGCAGAGACAACGTGCATTGATGCATGCATAGAATAGTGTACAGCGTATATACATTGACGACTATCACTGGACAAGTAAGGTCATCATACACAGGGCCCTCGCTGATACGCAATTTACCAAATCTGACAAAGTTAATCTGAGAAGATGTTGTCTAGCAGACGTGGATGTTGGCGATGCAACGACGCCGCTGCACTCGAATACGCCCCAATAGTGCCATCCATGCTCCCATACGCAGGTTCCGTCTCTATGTTCTGCCCGAATCCATCGCTGTTGTTATGAATCACCAAGATAGCACCTCGGCAAGAGAGTGGTGGGGCATAGTGGCCATCGGCACCGAACAGCGCTGCCTTTGACATGATGTCAACGTGCGGCCGCTCGCTGAGCGCGAGGCGCAAAAGCTCGAGGGCCGCAGGGTCTGCGTAATCGTTGAAGGCGTATGCACGCATGCGAGTCAACGGCGTCTCAGCGGCGAGGAGTTGGAGTGCGCCGAGCTGCAGGCGGTTGAGCAAAGTAGGGCTGACCTCCCGCGCGAAGATAGACGGTGGGTCAAAAGTGTAAACATATCCATGTTTGCACAGGCGCTCTAGCGCGCGGAACTCGTTCCGTGAAGACTCGAGCACGGTGTTCAAGAAGAGTTCAAGCGAGAGTATCCTCCCCGACTCTATCCTCACGAAGGATCCCACTGTCGCTCGCCGCACAGAGGCATCCTCGATAGCTTGAGACAAGTATGTCTCTGCATATCTGACGGAGACTGGTGTCACGTCGTTGAAGGAGGGTAGAATTCGTGAGGAAATGAGGTGGGCGATGATGTGACGTTTGAGAGCAAGGTCGTATTGTAAGCGTATCTTCTCGTCCTGCTTGTCCTCGATGGTCGGGGGTCTGAAAGTATCAGGAAGTGACAATCCCTCCATTGGTTTGGCTCCGAGACGGGACAATTGGACCATGACCTTCTCGTCCTCGCAATCTAGCTGGATCAGGGCTGAAAGCACTACCACACGGGCTCCCTGCTTCCCGCCCCAGGCAGGAAACGCCACGACTCCGTGTCCTCGTGCATAGCGATAGTCTCCGTGCATGTAAATAGGTGCAAGGGGTGTAACGTAGGTGTGCAGAGCGCCCTCCATGTTCGTGATGGCATCCCATCTGCCCCGCACATATTTGGCTCCCAGGGCGGAATTCTTCTTGTTGCGCAGGAGATGTTGGACAAGTACGCGGGGGACAAAGGTGCTATGGCTTATCACAGGGGGTTCCGAGGACTGGTAGGAGCGCAGGTAGAACTCGCGGGGATCATCCTTCCAGTGAACCTCAGTCTGGACTATGGTATCCGAAGAGGACGCAAACGACGCCATGTAGGAAGATTGTGATAAGCTCTTTGACCAGCGAGGAGTCTACGACCCTGCGCTAAGAGATCGCCAATGGGACTGACGTCGCTCTAAAGCGAAGTGATCGGTGATGGTCAAGAAGGAAGGAAGGAGGGCGCCATAATAATGCAGCCGCGTGGCCCGTGGGCGCCGCGCGTTGCTGTGTCACGGCATGAAGATCGGCGCCCAACTTGCCTCACACGCTCATCACGAGTGTCTGGCGTCCTTTCCTGTCAACGAGGAGTTTTGGGCATACTCAGATAGTCTCGCCCTGTCTCGCCTGCGCCGATATGTTCGCGTGATCCCCAGATCAGCGAGTCCTACTGGGTACAATGATGACTCACGTGACCGCGTTGTGATTTTTCTGCTGAAAGCCCGAGGCCCGATGTTCGTAGCACGTCGCGTTGAATTCGCGCGTCAGTTGTCCGTCGCCGCCATGTCGTCCTCAGCAGCGCCTAAAGGAGTTCTTCTCAAGTCTGACGCCATCGCATCCAAATTCACGGAAGAGGTCAAGAGCACCCTTGCTTCCCGATCCCGCAAACCGAAGCTTGTCGGAATACTCTCCACTGGATCTGCTCCTAGCAGAAGTTATGCCGAGTTCACGCGCAAGCAATGCGAAGCCCTTGGTGTCGAATTCCAGCTGAAGGAAACCGGCGCTGCTCTGGATCAGGATGCCCCCGACGGTGAAGGTGTTGAGGATGCGATCATCGAAGCGAATGGAGATTCATCTGTGGACGGGATCATGGTACGTTCCGTACTCTATATGCAGGATCGGGATATGTCGTCTGAGACGTACCCAGGTGTACTATCCGATCTTTGGTGCTCAGCAGGTGGGTCTATACCGCATCTGATGTATTGCTGCACACAAATGCCCAGTGCGCTGCCAGGATCATTATCTTCAGCAAGTGAGTAGGTCGGTATTAGTCCGTGTCAGCGATTTCTGATAGCCACAGGTCGTCTCTCCGTACAAGGACGTCGAAGGGCTCAACTTCAAGTTTCACTACAATCTCTATCACAAGTACGTCTCGCCCGGCGTATTCCATCCGAGATCGTTTCGCTCAAGGGAACTCGTAGCATTCGGTACCTGGATCCTAAGTCACTCATATCGTCTGCTCCTCTAGTCAACCCTCCCGCGCCAACGACAAGCGACGTGCCACCGCCCGGCACAGTCAAGTGTATCCTGCCTTGCACACCGCTCGGCATCGTCAAAGCCTTAGAGGGTGTCGGCGTCTACAACACCATACTGCCTTACGGAGATCGTGCTTATGGGAAGACTGTGACAGTCATCAACCGGTGAGCACGATCGGACTCTCCTTGTACTTCTCTGATCTTTTGGTTACCACAGTTCGGAAGTCGTCGGAAGGCCTCTTGCCGCGCTACTCGCAAATGACGGTGCTCGTGTATACTCAGTCGACATTGACTCCATCCAGGTGTACACCAAGCGGCCACCAGCACCCGACGGCACGGACGCCGGTCGCTATCACCCTCATCACGTCGTTCGCCCGACGAAGCTTTCTCTCGAAGAATGTCTTTCTCAGTCCGATGTCGTGGTGTCTGCGGTCCCTAGCGATAAGTATAAGGTCAAAACCTCTGCCTTGAAGGAGGGATGTGTCTGCATCAATGTCGCCGCCGATAAGAACTTCGAAGCGAATGTGCGCGAGAAGGTGATGCGGTTGCAAGCATGGATAGATCATCAGTCTCACTTTATACAGGCGTCACTCTACCTCCCCACTGTGGGCAAGCTCACCATCCTTATGCTGCTGCGAAACTTGTGAGTCGATCCGAACTTGAGGTTCTGCGCTATCTCAACGCTTCAATAGGCTTCGCCTGCAGGAATACCAGAGTCTGTTGGAGTCGACAACAGAGCCAAAGCCATAAGCGCGATAACTATGGCGATAGATAATAACATGTAGCCTACGCTGTATACTTGTGACTGATATTGAATATGCTGAATACCGAGTGCCGGTACGAATACCGAGATGAGACTGGATCGGGTATATGTCCTGCTGATCTCTTGGCACTACCCACGCCGTCTCTAATTGGCACTATCCATGCCGTCCCTGTGTCCCTTGCCTCTCACCATCACCATCTTTCATCGTTCAGTTCTCATACAGGTGCAGATCCACGACCGCGGTATTCTAGTATCTTTGCTAATCAACACTCTCAGATCTCAGTATCATGCAACGACTACACGAGCTTCCTGCCGACATAGTCAGCGACATCTATTCTATGGCTGCACTCATCGACTCGCCCACGAACAAGCTTGCTTACCCTCTCCAGGGCATGTCCGTAGCTGGAAGGCGAAAGAAGCCCGAGACAACCGTCGTCTCGCTTGGGTGGATCACTCTGACCCATATCTGTCGATACTGGAGACATGTCGGACTCGACATGGCTCCTTTGTGGGCTGGCGTTATATGCGTATTTCCGGCCGCCTTCGAGGTCCTCGTAACGCGCACAAGAGGCGCACCGCTGTCATTTGACTTCCGATTCGCGGGTAGCGAGCTCCGAAGAGACTACGCTGTAGAACATCTCAACAACGTACAGTCCATTGTCGACTTTGGGAGGTCGAACGGGATCTTCTGGGCTGAACAGCTCGCCGGTCACAGCCTGCCTCGCTTGAAGAAGCTTGAACTCTTGCTAGACGATACGGGGGAGTGGTCTTCTTTGGAAGTGAAGGATCAAGAAGCTCTACATGCGCCAGCTTTGCAACATCTGACACTTAGCCACGGACTCTTCTTCCCCTTCATTTCCCCTTCTTTAACCGGCCTTGCCCTCTCGGCTTCCGACTTCCGCCCGACCAAAGGTCTCACAACGATCTCAGAACTACTGTATCTACTACAGTCCATGCCTCTCTTGTCCAACTTGAGGCTCGACCATATCCTCGCATTCGCTGCACCGGATGAAGCGCAAGGCTCGGACGATTCTGTCGATCTACCGTGCTTGACCTCGCTATATTACGCGGGTCACGAGGATCAGTTCATCGCGCTCTGGAAACGATTGAAAGTCCCCTTAGACCTCTCTCTCTCGGTTCGACTTCGCAAGCCTCGCAAGAACAACATGAACAGTATCATCCGCACTCTTTCTCAACATTTTCACAATCCGCACTTCGACACGGTGTTCATGAGCGACATTGATTACTGGCAGAACGAGACGGAGCTCACCTTGACGAGCGGTGCATCGGACGCACCACGGGTCTCTATTCAATCTTATCACGTCAATGGCATCGACGACTCGAAGCCCGAGCATGTCAGTTCGCTATTGAAGAGGATCAGACCACACTTAAACTCGGCCGAGTCCATGCGCCATTTCCGATTTCGCGGCGCATTCCGCTATGAACAGAACTCAACTCCTCAGAGCCTGGCCCGAGTGATAGACCCGCTCAGGCATTTCACGGCCGTCTCGCAAGTGAACATCGAGCAGATGGACGCCATGCTCCTGTCGGCGGTCGGGAATGGGGAGGCCGGTTATCTCTTTCCGACCCTACACACACTTTCCATGACGTTTGCGAGAGAGGAATGGGGATGGACGAGCTCTACTCTCAGAGGGATCTGGGGCACACTTCTGGCCGCTTTGGAGGCACGCAGTGAAGGCGGATACCAAGTAACGTGTCTGCTCCTGGTTGGATCGCGGCCGGCAGAGCAAGCTCTGGCTCAGGACGACGAGAAGTGGAAGGCGAAGGCGGGCGTGCACGTGAAAGACGTATTAGATGAGCGTGTATATCAGTAGTGACAATGAAAGGGGGCGAAGCAGATAGATACGCAAAGATATTACAAAGAACAAGAATACAGCTAAGGTTTACATGCCACCATTGAATGGCGCCCCTAACCCTGGGAAACCAACGTCCGATCCTGGCATTCCGTAGGACGGTAAACTTGGCGGTGCAGGAAGACCGTTCGTAGACATCGTTGGCGACGACATCTCGAAGTCCTACGGCGAATGTTAGTCGCCGCGAAGCATGATGAGTAATAGTAGACTCACATCGACATGTTTGCTCGGTAGTCTGCTGGTGTTCTGACGCGCATTCGGTGTTTGTCGAAGAACGCGGAAATCGTTGGCGTTATACGTCTTCGTGAGACCAGTCACAGCCGGACTGCGCAAGAGTGCAGTGGAGGGAGATACGGTGATGAGCGACAGCATGCTCTGCGCCTGTGGGGGCGTCGTGCGTTTTGGTGTAGAAGGCGGAGGAATCTGAGCGCGGAATGCCCCATCCAGTTCAAACAGGGACAGGCGCAGTTCGTTGGGTAATGGCAAGTACGCGCTCGGAGGTACGTCGGCGTCCTCTAGACTGGGCGTAACCAACGTGGCCTGGACATTGTCGATAGCCCTGGCGAGCTTCATGGGCAGTACAGCTGATAAGCGGTCGTAGAGAAGGGTGGAGCTCTCCTGGGATATGCCATGCAACGTCCGTATTTGGGGCAATCCAGCATGCGATTGCTTCACGAGCCACTCTAACATGGACAGTACGGCTCCTGCCTGATCCTCAGAG